CATAGCTAAAATTATTATCATGTTTCCTCTTATATAAGACACATTTGATTCTGGGACCATAAAATTAAAAAAAAAATAAAGAATTATTTGGTTGACACACTGATTTTTATTAACCTGCTCGATTGCAGTTGAACAGAAGAAAAATATTACATAAAGCTATTGAAATTAATGTTTATTCAATAAACAAGTCGGCATCACTGTCAGAACTGCCACGTGCTATACCATATAGCATATATTAAGTTGCAACCAATAAGAATGTCTTGCAAGTACCAAACTTCAGATTTCAGACTGAAAAGAAGTTTAAATTTGAAATTTTTTCCTTACTGTTATTATGACTGCTTATGTATATTTTATAAAATATTTAATAAGCAATATTTACAATTTAGTTTTTTATTTATTTATTTACTTATGAAAAATTTTAATTTTGCTTTAAAAAAAAGCTAGCCCATCAGCTGTGTTTTTAGGTTGAGCACAATTTGAGTTTCAGGCCACTGCCGTAAAGTATACAATTAGCCCAGCGCAATTTTCCCAAATGCATTACATCAGTTCATCTTTATTATAGATAGTCTTGTCTTAAATGACCAATGTCACACTTTTATAAGATGCACCCAGTTCTTAGACACGAAATTTCGAAAGAAAAATGTGTGTCTTATACGTTGGGAAATATGGTAACTTAAAACTGAGTAACAACTCTTCTACATTTTATCAGATATCATAATTACAGTAAATAGATTGTGAACAATTAATTATTCTATTTTATTGAACTACAAAAGAAATCAATATAAAGAGTAAACAATAATTTTCATCCTTCATTATTTATAAATACAGTCAAAAGTCGTTGATTCGGACACCCATAATTCGGAATGATCTATAATCCGGACCTCAAAGCTAAAAACTTTCTGCGCATGCGCCGCGTTGACACAAGCGCATAGGCGTTTACGCGTGCGCGTAAGACCTCTTACTTAAACAACTTACATTGAAAGAAATGTTTAATAAAGTAAACAAATAAATATTAAGCTTTTTTGTAAATTTTTATACCCTTTAGATCATAATTGTTCTTTATTTCATAAATTATGGTTTCATATTTTTAATTTTAGAATTTCTGCATGCCATCTTACGCGATTTAAACTGATGATCTATAATCCGGAAAAATCGATAATCAGGAATCGCCGAAGTCCCGACGAGTCCGGATTAACGACTTTTGACGGTATATATTATATAACAGAGGAATTGACAGTATGCATACAAAAATATACAAGGTCTGTATAAAAAGTATCTAACCTTGAATTTTCCCGCACAAAGTAGTGAAGCTACGCTGTTGTCACTGTGCACTGTGGAAGACAGCTTAATGCAACATGCTTGAATTTCTCAGTGTTCCAGTCAGTCAGTCAAAATCATCATTGCCTGCTGGCCGCTGAGTGAAATGCTCTTATAAGTGTTCGCTGGATTTTTTTTTTTTTTTCCCTCTTAAAATGACTAAAAAAGTTGAACAACAGTACTCCATCAAACTTTGTGAAAAGCTTGGTGATTCTAAAAGCAAAACAATTTCTAAGATTCTGCAAGGGTTTGGAGACAATGCTATGGAAGTAACACAAATTAAGGAGTGGCTAAACCGATCCAAAATTGCCCATACATCAGTGGTGAATAATCATCATTCAGGAAGTCCAAAAACTACTCAGAATGCAACTGTTGTTGAGAGGAAATCTAATAATGGGAGATCGTCATTTGACCATACGAGAGATTGCCAAAGATGTTGAGATCAGTAAAGATTCTAAACATACAATTTAGCATGATGATCCGAACATGCACAGAGTGACTTCAAAATTTGTGCCCAAGCTTTTGTCGATGAAACAGGAAAGAACTCCGCCTTGAAGTTGCACAAGAGCTGCTGTGCACTACTGACATTGAACCTGAGTTCTTGAATACCATGATAACTGGAGATGAGTCTCATGGGTGTACAAGTACAACCAGAAACAAAAGCACAGTTGTCACAATGGAAACATCCTGGATCCCCAAGGCCGAAAAAAGCATGGCTCCATGATGTAATTTGGTGCAAAAGACCAGACCTCAGGACAGCGAAAAACTGACAGTTGCATCACGACAATGCTCCATCTCAATCATCACACCTGAGACAGACTTTCTTGGCAAAACAAGGAATTCCAGTCCTTTGCCAAGCTCCCTACTCTCCAGACATGGCTCCTTGTGACTTCTGGTTGTTTCCATAACTGAAAATCACATTAAAAGGATCCAGTTTTCACAGTGGAGAAGAGATAATGCATAACACAGTGGCAAAGCTCAACTTCAATACAAAAGAAGCCTTCCAGAAGTGTTTTCAGCCATGGAAAAAATGGGGGGGGCGCTACTTGTGTGGAGGCACAAGGTGCCTACTTTGAAGGGGATTAAAGTCCCAGTACTATCATGTAAGTAATATATTTTTTCCAGCCGAAGGTTGGATACATTTTACAGATCTCATAGATATGCAAATGATGAAGAAAATTCAAATTTTCAACAAAAGTCATAGTAATTAGGGAGGAAATCATATACCCATAATATAGTACCAGAAAATAATGCTTAAACAAAATATAGAATAAAATAATTTAATAGATTAATTTTAATAGATAAAAAGAAAATAATAGAATAGATTCCATAACAGTGTGATAAAAAATATTTTATACATATCAGGAAATGGGAAAGAATGACAAGCTAAGTAAAACGGAGTGTAAGAAAACGCATTATTAATTGATGTAAATTTTATTTTGATATTAGAAGCACTTTCAGTGATTCAAAGAAGACTGCCTTCTTCAAATGAAACTGTAAAGTTGCAGTTGAAGAAGATGATCATGTGTTTTCTTACACTCACATTATTTAATAAAAATAAATAAATAGGGAAAAGATCAACAGCTGAAAGATTTAACAAAAATTTATTAATGTTGTGAAAAATACTGTTGATTCATGCCAATAAAATAGAATAAATGGATATTTACATATACATACATAGCTTGTAAGTACTAATACATACAAAAATTACAAAGAATATTAAAATTATTATTACAGTTTATTTAATTAAAACTTTACTTGACTACATTACTTCTTGATGCAATTTTTTAAGAACTGCAGTGCAACTTCAAGAAGACTGCAATTCAAGTTTAGCTGATAATTTAATTCAAACTATTGCTCACAAAAATCTATCAGTTGCATATATTATTATGCTAGTATGTTTATATTAAAAAAACTGCTAAATACAGTATGCTAAAGAGATTTATTGTTTTTGAAGAATCTAATATTTAACACTAAATACTTAATAACAGACACTTACTAAATTTCCTGGGATAATCTAAAATGAAATTTTGATCTGAATACTTTCAAATTGTCCAAAATTATTTGCTGAAGAAAGAAAGGTATAATAAGCAACCAAATGGCTTAGGGTTGTTTGGTTTATTTTGATTATGTCAAAACACACGAGGGCTGTTTGTTTAAGGAAAGGGATGCTTTTTGTGGAGGATTTTCTAAGAGAAACTGGCTCATATCTATGTTACACATGAGGAAAACAATGAACCATGCATCCAGCCCATTTACCAGGAATCAAACCAAGGTCAAAATCCCAGTGACTTTACCTCTCAGCCTCTGCTGGGCCCAAACAAAATGGCTATCGAAAATCAAAAACCAAAAAATCAATGATAGGGAACAAAAGATGTAAGTTTTAATTGCTTAAAATTTATTAAAAATTAGTTTTAAGATTTTAAATATTTTATTACATAAAAATAATGGCAAAACTTAATCCTGAGATTTTTCATTAATTTTAAAGAATTATTAGCTGCACATTGAGGAAAACTGGTAGATGCAAACTTTTTCGTAAATTTGACATCCTATATTCTCCTTATAAATACTAAAGAGTAAAGTTATATTATTGTTACTTTAAGTGATAGTTACTTTAAGTGAACATACAGATTTTCAAAGATTGATATAGAACTTCTGAGTGCTCCATCAGAGAATCAGAGGGTTATAATATTAAAAAGTACACATTTTCTCTCATGTATCTAAACACCAGAAACACATCTTCAGGGATATCACCTTGTGTGAATATACTATTAAAAGCTAATTTTATTCAATTTACACAATAACACAATATAATATTATGTATTTTATTACCTTACTTCTATCATTAGCATTCATCTACAGAAGGGGGATTTTCCCTTTGGGAGGGAATACCATAGATTTGGAGAGAGGTATGTGGCCAGCCTTTTATTCAGCTTTTAAGTATTTTAGTTTATGAATGTAAAACACCAGTTTTATTCAATTTTCAGTGTTTATCAACATTTCCTGTACTTTTTGTTGTTTAATTTATAAAACACATTAAAAAACAATCTAAATCAAAATAAATATGCATGTATTTTTCAAGTTTTGGAAAGGAAGAGAAGAGGAATAATCTTCTGGCAATGGTGAGGTGTGTAGGGCAAAATAGGTTGAAAACCACCGAGCTACATACTACAGTACCATAGAAAAAGGTTAAAAAATTATTTTATTGCTTTAAATTTAGACAAAATTCAGTTTCAGACTGGCATTAATTTTAAAGAGTTATTAGTAATTATTATTACACTATGAAATAATTTGACACAGGTCTTTCTTTTCCATGAGGTAAAATTATTCTCCAGGCATACTATCATATTATCTTAAAATGTCCATACTATTTATCTAAAATGAATGCCAACCTAAGGCTGAATTTCATCTAATCTTAAAATTCAAGATGGTGTGCTTCTCTTACTGATTTCTGGCTAAGTCTTCTGATTTGACATAAAAACTGACATTAAAAAATTGCAGCTTATTTACCTTAAGTTCCACATTCAACAATATTTTTTCAATCATTGTGCTCCTTAATTTTTGTTTTTAAATTCTCAAGAGTGAATTAATAAAGATATCAGGCAGAATGTTTAACAAAAGCAAGCAATCTTTTGTCTATAGAAGGCCCCAGAAAAATCAGTAACAGTAATCAGAAAACACAATACTGTTTTAAAGATTGCTTTTTAATTTTCCAAACAGGAAGTGATTTCATCAACTACTGAACAGACTTCTTGCTTTCAATTATCACTCACACTTAACAAAGAATTTTAATACATTACCTAAAAGGTGATTTTAATAGAATTATAACATTTATCTATATGAAATATTTAATATAAAATATGAGAAAATTTTTTCATTTGTTATTAATTTTGATGACAAATTACTCATTCACTGAATGCACAAAAATTTCTAATTTTTATATGATAATCATAAATCTAGTTTAAAATGTGCACTTGTTCTCAAAACACTTGACATAACTAATTCTTCAAATTTTTCACTTTGAATGTTCCACGGGGAATTGAAGGTGTTCATTGTTAAATATGTATCTGTGAAGATCTAATTTTCATTTATATGGAAGGCTCACAGAGTAGTCCCTATATTGAGCAAGAATTTTACTTAATATATCATTCTGAAGAGGCGTTAAACGAGGCCTGAAAAAAAAAAAATATATGTAGTTTATTTTCAATTCAACGTTATTTTCAATTAATTCAATGTTAATGCTTAAGAAAGCAATGCATGTGGGGGAAAAAGATTATAACAACAATATCTCGAAAACTGGAAATAACTTTTTTTTTATCAAATTCTGTTTTTTTAAAACATATGATCAATATGCTAAATTTATAAGAATAATTTGCTATCAGCATAAAAGAAAGAATGAATGCAGATGGCAGTATTGAATAAAACTCCTGCATGTAGAAGGGAACCAAAAACTAAGATCTGAGCAGAACCTTCTGTTAATTAATAGATTCAAAGATACGAGATCATATATTTCTTTTGAGATTTCTAAATTTAATTAAATATTCTAAGGATCAGAAACCATGTGCACATGACAAAAAGATTTCCTCTAAATTACAAACAGGCCCACCTAGTTATATTAATGGATTTAGATAACGTCCATTGAATAAAATTATATAACTGAATTTCTTAGTCATCCAGTACATAAAATGCTATTTTTACTGTTATAAATCTATAATCTATAAATCAGTAAAGGATCTATCATTTTCTTACCCCTGAGTTTACTGAAGTACATAAAAGTGAATAATAAACTTTGTGCCAATAGTTATGGAGCATTACAGGCTATCATATGAATTTATTTCAAAAGCTTGTATTCACAATGTAACTCTCTCTGATGCAAGATGCTTTCAATTGACTATCACATTCTTCATACTTTCTCTCCAAGACTAACCACTGCAAATTTTTAATTTAAAATGAGAGATAACATTACATTTTTTTTTTCAATTAAGGCAACTGTAATAGTTATAATTTCAATGTAATATTAATGAAAAGGAAATCTAAATCTAAATGTTGAAACTATGCATCAGAAACCAATATAATACATATATGAAATTTACAAAAATACTGCAATAATCTGAAGAATGGAAATTCATAAAATGCATGATTTTAATAACAGACAGAATTGAATAACAGTCTCTGAATCTTGATGATAATAATCAATGAGAAATTGTCATTGAGCACCTACAGGTGGTTGTATGATTATTATTTGGTCCGCTTTCAGCATAATAATAAAATTTGAAATGGTGATAATGACCAAAATGTGACTGAGATTGGAAAGGAGTAAATGCAGCTGACAAAATAGCACCAAATAATTGACTAAATGCAGGGATGTCATAAATCTTTAATATGTAAAAAAGTGCAATACCTGCAAAATGCAATAAAACAAGGTATGCCTATCCACACAACACATACACATAACAACTATACACATACACATAACAAAACTATACACAACACATACACATAACAACTATACACAACACATACACATAACAACTATACACAACACATACACATGACAAAAGGGGGTTTAAATCTCATTTATTAATCTTTACACTAACATATGACACCCTGTTGGAAAATGTACAATCACACTTTTCTGCCTAGCCTCAGTTTTAGAACATGATTAGTGTATTGAACACAGGAAGTGTCAACTAGCGCTTTTATTCCTTTATTTAACCTTGAATATGACTTTTACAGATGAACTGTTAGCTCAGTTTGTTTAACCAGTAGCAAGTATGAAATAAAGTAATGACTAATTGTTGTGTAACTCTATTTTCTCCATAATGCTTGCATTATCTTTACTGTGATTTGTTTTATTAGAGTTGTAATTTTAAATAATGTGTAAGTATAAAAAATACTTAAATGAAGATGAAATATAGATACCCTTCAGATAAGTTAAGATAAGATATCCATGAGATAAGATCAGTACCAATGAGGAGAGGGAATACAACTGAAATGTTGACAGCAATGAAGAGAAATGTAGTGATAAAATTGATGAGATGAATAATCACAGCAGTGATAATGGAACAGTCTTACCTGACAATCATTCTGCTAGTAACAACAATTGTTATTTAAGTAAAGACAGACTTACAAAATCTAGAAATAAATCAAACTTGATCAATGTAAAAAAGTTACCAGGATTTAAACAAGTGTGGGCGATTTCTAAAGAAAGTGAATCGTTTTTTAAAGTAATTAATAGAGAATGGATTTTGAAGCAGCAAATGGCATTAACAATTACACTGAATACATGTATTCTATTTATTGCTTACACTATTTTTTTAATTTTTATATTGGTAGTATTGCTGTGGTTTTTTTTTTTTTTTTTCCTAATAAATAAAGTAACAAACAACAACAAACATAAAACAAGTAAGCCAAATAATAAACAGTGAAATTAAATGGAAAATGTCTTAAATTAGGAATGGAAGAATGATTTATGATGAATAGCATTCTATACATTGTTAAAAAAATATAAATCGTAAGTATTTGTGGGACAAAATAGCACACATCACTAAAACTTAGAGAAGGACTTAAAATATATTTCGAAATACAGAACTATTGCAGTATTTTTAATCACAAATTTTCTTAAAGCCCAAACTGAAAAAGATATATTTCACATCATAAATTTTAGAATGGAATTTTCTAGTTATAAAAATATAAATGGTAAAAAATTAATTAAAATTGGGGGTAGAGAGCAGACTACATACAAAAACTAGACCAAATACTGAACATCAATATTTCATAGATAAATCGCATTGCATAACAAAAAGCAATTTGCATAAAGAATTCAATTTAAACATTGGGGCTGAGATATAAGTATCCAAAACAAACTAACATTATTGAACTCACGTACTAAAACGGAACTCTCATTTTATAACTAAAATTACAGCATCATTATAAAAAACCTACATTTAGAGGAACTATTACTGTTCAGTGTAATAGTTCCTCTGAAGTTATAGAATGTACAATAAAGCAAGTACATTTCTGTCAAGATTTATATTGTTTAAAATGCATGAATACAAACTAAAAAGTAACATTTATTGAACTATATCCATGTTCAGAGCTGGATTTAGACTTGATAAAGAACCTAAGCTATTTGAGATATGGAGCCCTTTATAAAAATCTTATACTATTACTATATTTTAATTTTTTTTGGGGGGGGCGTGTGTGGCTTATACGTAAATCCTGCACTGGCCATGCTTACAATAATTACACAACTGGGTAGAAAAAAAGAAAAGAAATCGCTGTTTTGCATATAATTTATAAAGCCCTAGTGATAAAACACTTACAGATCATTTGATATAAAGAAAATAAGATTGCATCATGAAGAAATAATGATATCATAGATAAGCATGTAATTTAATATGGCAAAGAATGTTACATTTATCTACTTCAAAAGATACCCTTTTGCTGATAGCTTTTATTAAAGTAAACCAATTTATATTTATGTTGCTTACAGGAAAATGTATAAAATACTTATGCAATCAAATTATCTCATTATAGGATACCAAATCCTTGTCCTGATTTGAATTTTTAAAAAATATGTTCTTCATTCCAAGTTGAAACAAAAATTTTTTACTACATTCCAAGTGGATAAGATGACTGAACAAAGGTAATCTAATAATATTCAATAATCTTATCCGCTTGGAATGTCGAACAGATCTTTTGTTGTTGTTGTTGTTTAGGTTAAAATATTATTCTAGATTTATTTTTATTTTTAGCCATTATATCTACTACAGTAATAAATATATTACAGACATAAATTTTATAATATACTTAGTTGCTAAAGTTACTAAAGTGAAGCAGTTTACAGGAGAGGCAAATCTCAATTTTTCTTGTTATCTAAAAATGTTACAGTGTATTTGAAACTAGTTAATATTTATATGGCCCATGGGGAAAACTAAAAAATATCCATACATTTAGCTCCTTCTGCTAGAAAATAATAAACCAAATGATATTATCAAGGTTCACTGATTTTAGCTATGCTAGTGTTATTAGGGTAAGACAGTATCCAGAATGCATTTTGTTTGCTTAATATTCTTAATGATTACTCTGGTTTACTTTGTTTTTCTGTTGATCTGAGGGTTGAGTTATCATGAAATATATATATATATATTTCATTATGATATGTTTTCTATATTGGACTGTTAGCAAATCCTCTATGAAGACATTTCTTCCCTTAGACAGACAGCTCTAGCCTACTCTGCCATAATCTGAACAATGCAATTTTTTATTGGATTTAAGCAAATAATCTACACTTCATGTTCAATAATTTGCATTCAAATAATGCATTACAGCACTGATGCAAATTCTTTAATCTCATTTTGGTTACTATTATGGGATGCTTTAGCTATTGTTATAATTTTGTTCCTGCTTTATAAAGATCCTCCTCTTCCCTGATGCTTCACATAATACCAATAAAATATTCTGCTGAATGCTACATTATTTTTAAATAAAAATAAAGATAACTTCTTTTAAAAAAATTAAGTTTATAATTAAATTTATGATGCCTCATTCATACACACACCTAACAAATGAAAGATACCTGATCAAGGATAAATCTAGAAACATGTTTGATTTATATAAGAGTAAAATTTTAATTAGTAAAAAGTAGGTTTTTGAACTATTTCTATTTAATTTCATGAAAATATCATTCGTTATAATAATATTACAAGTTCTACTGCATAATAAGAGTCTTTATATTAACACAAAATTAAAAAAGAACTAAATTAAAGCATTATGAAATTTAGAAAAAGATGCTACTGTTGTAGAATGATCGACGCAAAAACACCCAAAGTAATTTTGGTGCTTGGCACTTTAAAGCTAAATGGCATTTCAAATTAGAAGCATAATAAAAAAGGAACTAAAATCTATAACAAAGCCATTCTGAGCTGAAATTCAACAACTTGTAAAAGATTAAAAGCTTACAGTTTGCAGTGCTGAACAAGACGTTAGTAAGGTTTAAGTAAAGGAACATCAAACATCATTGTTTCATGATAATGTTCATATCAATGCTAAAGCTGACAGAAGACAATTTGCTGGCAACTACTGAGATATTTCCTATAATCCAGAATTAAGATATTGCATAATAATAATTAACAGAACTCACTTTTTGTTTTCCTTTTGAGGAAAAAAAAAAAAAAAAAACTTACATGCAAGGTATTCATTACAAGGCAACCATCTTATATGAATAAGAAAACAGAAAGCTGGCTCTCCAGTGAAGAAAATATCTTAATCACTATGGTGTGCATTTTTGAATATCCTGATCATAAAATGATTTGTATAACTCATTAATTTTTCATTTGAATAAACCTTATACAGTTCTAGTTTAAAACTAGCGATTGACAAATATAACACATACTAACAGAAAATGCATTATATTCTGTAAATAATGAACTTTTATACAAATACTATAGTAATATATTGTGACTAAAAAAAATTATTTAAATGTCCTATATAATGAATATTTTTCAGCAGTAATATGAATTTATTTTTCATTTTTGCACTTTAATTTGGGCTATTACCTAAATCTCCCATCATACAAATTTTATTAAACATAACCGTTTTCCACAGCCACAAAAAAATAGTAAATTACATTTAATTCACTTTCAGGAAAAAAGCAAGAAGAATATTTATAAGAACAATTTTTTTCTTTCTTTTTTTAAATTTAGAACATTTTAAAAATGACTATATTTCACAAGAAATGCAAAATTACATCTGGCACTGGTAACTCAGATTTTAAATAATCTGCAAGATCTCCTCTATACATATATTGGTAATAATTTCCACAATTTTCTCCAAATAAAAGCCTATAATGTTGGAAACAATTAAAAAAAATTACCATAAATCTCTTTCTAGGTGTAACAATGCAGATTCATCCCTTTCTTTAACAGCAATCTGTAATTATACACATGGTTTCCTCAGTAACATTATAATTAAGTTAAAGCTATATTTATTAAGAATATTTAAAAATAAGGCAACATTTTTATCATTAGAAAAAATGCAAAATTCATGAAATGGTCAGTCACAGAATAAATTACAACATTTCATTGCCTAATATCTAAAACAATAATTTTATTGACCACAAATAGGATTTGAACTATCATTCCTTCTGCCTCCCTCCCACAAAAAAGAAAAGAAAAATCTATCTTCTATGTAGCAAAAACAGACATAAATAATACAAAACTAATTAAATAAGCATTATACCATAGACACTCTGCACTTATGAAATTTTACAGAAGTGCACAAACTTGTTCTCAAAGAATAAAATTTGTTTGGAGTAGAAAAGAAAGTTAACAAATACATCACAGCAATACAAAATTAGATACAAATGGCAACAGCATTTTCCAAGACTGAAGACCTCACTCTTTAGAAAATCAAGACCCAATGGTTGGTTAAAATAAACTCTGCTGCACATGATGTTATATACTACCATCATCTGATTTATGACAGAAGAACAAGAAAATCTACTTGGACACTTATTTTCTTTCTTCAAAAATCAATGTTGCTGGCCTATCTAACAGATCAAACTCCTTCCACTTCTCATCACAAATGCGCCCTTTACCTGTCATTAGTCTTCTCCTCCCCTCGCATCATCCTCACATGCCTCAAAAATGACAATCCAAAATTACAATCCACACTGTACAGTAAAGTATTTCATTAGTTATTTAAATTTTATATTTATAATACTAAAATGTATTACTTTATTATTGTTAGCATTTTTAACTGCTTATTTGATAGTATTTATAGCTCTTATTTCACGAATGTTGTTAGGAGATATGAATGGCACAACTAGTAACATTTTACAAACAAATTTATGGTATGAATGGTCATTCAATACACTCCTCATTTGATATATAACTTGGGGAAGTTTCTGTAAACATTTTTGATTAAAACTGATATTTATAAACAGGCAAATTCTGGTAATGTAATCAAGCTGTTATATGACATGAAGACTTTCATTTTGATCAACAGCATTTGAATACATTATACTGAATATAGACATTTTCTTCATTAATTCTTTTTAATTTAGAAAAAGAAATCATTTGGCATCAAAACTGTTTAGAATTATTAAAAGACAAAGAAAAATGACTTTGTCTAACTTTCAAAAATAATCTTTTGCTATCTTCCAAAAGTTTAGAAAAACTGGCAAATAATAATTTAAGAATCAATGGTCGATCTAGATTTGAAATAGGATCAAATTTACTGTATTTTTCATGCATATTCTGAAGTAAGGTAGTATGCAAATTGTTTAAGTATAAAAAATAACTGTCAAAACAAAAATTTAAAAAGAAATAACATAAAAAAAATTTAGAATTCACAAATATACGAGGGTTGGAACTTTAATAGTGGCAACTATTTATTTACAAGGAATACAAAAGTGATTCATGTCACCATGTTTTACAGTCCTTCAATATAGTCGCCAGCATTGTGTACAACCCGTTTCCAACGATGTGGAAGTCGCAGAATACCTGTAGCAGCGCCTGTTTTGTTGATAGTTTGAATGGACTGGTCTACTGCCGCAAGAATCTCAGGAACAGTTTGGAAGCGAGTTCCACGAAGTGGTTCCATCATCTTAGGAATTAAGTCATAGTCACAAGGGCTCAGATCTGGGGAGTATGGTGGATGGTAAAGCACTTCCCAGCCCCATCGCTTGAACAAATCAGTCACAGCTTACGCTGCATGCGGCCGAGCATTGTCATGCAAAATGAGAGGAGCGTTCTGCAGAAAGTGTCGCCGTTTTTTTCTCAAAGCTGGTTGGAGATTGTGCTCCAAAAATGAGCAGTAATACTGCGCAGTGACGGTCTGCTGTGGGGCAGCGGTATACGTTAGGATGACACCATCACAGTCGTACACGAGAATCACCATAACTTTCACATTGCTGGGGTTCTGACGAAATTTTGAACGTCGTGGTGACCCGTGATGACGCCATTCATTTGATTGGCGTTTCAGTTCTGGGTGGTACGATTGGGCCCAAGTCTCATCAGCGTAATGATACAGTGTAAAAAAGCATCTCCTTCGCGCTCATAGCACTCCAGGTGGGTTTGGGCAGCATCGTATCGTAGCCATTTCTGCATTTCCGTCAATTGATGTGGAACCCATCGTGAAGCAATTTTTCTCATGGACAGGCGTTCCTTCAGAATGTGCAGCACAGTTGTATGCACTAATCCTGTTTGTCCGGCCAGCTGACGAATCGTTTGGCAGCAATCACTGTCCATTAGTGCGGCAACAGCTTGCACGTCTGCATCGCTGACACTCGGATGACCTGGCCGCAGCATGTCTGCCACGTTTTGGCATCCTTCATTGAATGCTTTCACCCATCTTGCTACGGTTCTGTAAGGCAATGCAGATTCCCCGCAAGCCTCTTGAAGCCCTTGATGACACTGTCATGCTGTACGACCTCTGGCACATTCAATTTTTATCCAACATCATTATTCTTGTTTTGAAAACATCCTGACAACACTTACTTTAGACCGCGAGATAATACAAGGATCCGTTCTTCGCGTCACTCTGCATGCGCGTGACGTAGGCAGGACGATTCATTCTTTTTGCTGAGAGGTAAGGTAGGTATGTAGTTCACGTGTGGTATACGCGATATTCTTTGGTTTTGTTACGTAGCGTTTTTTCAGCTGTGTTGCCACTATTAAAGTTCCAACCCTCGTATTTTATAGTGAGTCTCACAGAATCCTCTAAAATCTGCAAAAGTAATCATGGAACTTCTGTTGTTGCAAAATTATTACTCTGTTTATAAATAACATCAAAGAAGAACAGCCACATCTTAATTATAATTTTATCTTTTATAGATAGATGTGAACAATGACTTACCATAAGAGACTGTAATAATAGATAAAGATCATCTTCAATATAATCAACTGCAACAAAATAGAAATAAATTAATACAGGATTAAGAAATACATGACAGGCTAATTCTTTTTAAATTTTCTGAAATAAAACATCTGCAATAAATTAATTTTTGTATTAACAAACAATTTTATACATAAATAATTTTTTATATTAGAATGAAAGCTACTGATATGTGAACAATGTCCAAGAAAATAATAAATATCAAAACACAGGAAGTAGAAGAAAACAAGTGCTTAAGAAAAAATAAATACTATCTTTCTATGACAGTTATGACCATGAGCCAAAATACACTTACATGATATGAATTTATATACTTAACAAATGGGACATTATGTAATATCTTCATTTTTTTATTTCCCTTTTTATTTTGTATTATTTTTATTATTTTTTACTTTTTCTTTATTTAATCACTTATACGTGGAGTACATTTCAGAAAAATGTGTCAAAAATGGAAAATATTTTTTACTCTTTCACTCCCAATGAGTGCCTTTACAGCTACTCCTATCCAACTTTCAAATAAATGTGAAATAAGTATCATCATCGATTGACAAAACAGTGAATTTCACTATATTAAGCATTTGAAAAAACGAAAATGCACTCATTTTTGACTTCACAGAATAAAAACACTGATTTTGTCTTGCCCAAGTCAGTTTGAGCATTCCCAACTAGGTGCGACTGGGTAGCCCAAACTGGATTCAGGTAACAATGGCAAGGGGTTAAAAATTTCATAATCAGGTGGGCAGCTCTCCAAACTTCTCTTATTCTTCTATCAATAACACTTCTGAACTGGTCCATGGGTTTAGGCAATGTGCCAACAAAGGTCATGCTTTCCAATATTGGACAATAGCTAAAATTAGGAAACATACAAAAATTGTCAAGAAAAGGTATCTATCAGAGCAACTTGGATCAAAATTTACTTTTTAAAATTGGTATGTAAAACACTCTTAGAGCATTGCAGATTGGGACAACTTTGAAAACTTTTACTCATTTTGTTACGAAAGTATGGGGATATTCTAAATTCTTGTAAATGTTTTGTGTTCAGAGGGACAAAGTGCAAATTGTAGTTTAATTTTTTATACCATTGCAAGCTTTTGAAATATCTCCCCTGCCTTTTGTTGCCATGTCCTTGAGCTGTAATCAATGATAATCTTTGAAAAATTTTTCACAAGCTATAATTCTAAGGCACAACATTACAAAAATATATAAAATCCTAAAACAAGCAAATACTGCATAAATGCTTACTAATTTAGAACAATATAAAATGCTAGTATATTTTTAATATCTCCATTCACAAACCATTACGTTTAGCTGTTATCCTTTATTTAAGATCAAGTACTTTTAATAGTATCATTTTGTAGTTCGCACTTGTGGAAACACACATCAGTACCGAAGATGACTATTTTGAATTTCGTGTACAGTCAAAAGTCGTTAATTCGGACACCCATAATCCGGATCTCAAAGCTACAAACTTTCTGCGCATGCGTCGCGTTGACGCATGCGCATAGGCGTTTAAGCGTGCGTGTAAGACCTTTACGGCTGCGAATATGTGTGTGCGCATGCGCATAATACGTTTACGCATGCGCATTTAATGTATAACGGACGGTATAAGCTAAGCTAAAATTATCTAATTCAGTTAATGTTGCAGATTGCGTTGTTCCTTAATCTTCAACTTGGATCTGGCTTATTATTTTTTGCAGACTGTTAGAGCAATTTTATAAAAGTAAGCTCGAACTTTCGATTATGTCAAATAGAATTTAATATCAAATAGAATAGAATTAAAAGCAGTATATATCTTTTTCAGGTATTTTGCTTGGAATCTCCTTTCTATGGAGAAGTAATGATTCATAGTTTTCCCTTTCTTATTAAAAATGTTGCTTATTTTGCACTTAGAAATTTTAACACCATGCATTTCACAACATTTTTTAATTATGAAATATCCATATTTTTCTTCAGAAAGTGCAAAAACATATCTTTCAATTCACAGCTTGTTAACACGTGACATTTCTTCTTCTTCAGCTTACTAATCCATCTAATCTGAATCAAATCAGACCCATAAGTACATTTAGCTTTATAACTTCCAACACCAAATTAAGTCTCATGAGCAGGTCCTCAAGCAGTACAACTAAGTAGATGTTAGGCAAGGCAATACAATTAAGTAGATGTGCAGTGGTTTCATGGTTATTTCACTTGGTACAAAATGAGACTGTTTTAATACCACGGAAAAATATATGAGTCCTTAAATGTCCTGAAATCAACCAAGCCGAAACCACAGAAAAATCTAACAGTTCTTAAGTATCCTGAAGTCAACCAAGCCGGAGCCATTTGGTCCTTTACCATCATTCCTGAAGCAAATAGCAGTACCAGGACATGCACTATGATGCCATGAATGTGTAGGTAGTTGTCTCCAAGAAATGTAAACCAAAGCATTTCTTCTCGAGTAGAGCTCAAAAGAGGTCAAAGGTTAAGCATAAAACTGAAGAAGTACCCACCTTTGCTAATCTGTCACCTATATAATTATATATTATATTTATATCAGATGGTATCCATTGTAGATGGAAGACAGAAGAATTAGGCAAGGTCGTAAGTTTTCCCAATAAATTTAATTCCTTTCACGTCTGTAATACCTCTCTAATTATTTAGGTATTGGATAATACTACTGCTGTCCATAAGGATCCAGATTTCTCTGGATAAATGCCAATCTAAAACACATGCCAAAGCCATATCAATAGCAATCAATGCTATCTTATACAATATGCATTTTGAAAGAAGAATAAATTTAAAAGTAGCAGATGATATTTCTCATTTCAAACAAAAGCTGTTGCCAGAAATTTTTATTCAAAAATAAATTTTTTTTTAATTCTTTATCATTCTAAAAAATGTGTGAAAACCATTTATATTTACAGCCTTAATCTCAAGCTAGTTAGACATGTTGAAGGATCAGTACACAAAAAATTTTATTTTGTATAATATATACATTTAATTTTTCTGATGTCTTTACAGAACAATGTGTAAATAAATTATTATGTGATTATCATGATTGCCTTTCGTTTTTAAACAAAATAGTCACATTCCATTCAAAATTGTTCCATGTATATGGATAACACAGCAATATATGTTTGTCAGAATGCAATACACAATTACTGAAATAAAAATGCAATTCTTCCACTCACAAGAACTTGAGAAACTTCTCTAATATAATTCTGGAAATACAAAACTATGTCTGCTTTTGGATAAGTCTATATTTTTACTAGCAATGACTTTTATTTCACATATCAGAAATAACTTTTTACTTTTCAACATTCTCAATGTGAAGGACTTCAGATTTATGTATTAAAAAAAATCTGATGTGTACACCACATGACTTCCTTGCACGGAATATTAAATTATACGCATTTTTTCTTGCATTTCATTTAAACTTATTGAATTTAATTAAATCTACTTCGTCAATAGCGAATAAACCACTATAGAAAAAATGCACTCTTTTAAAATTCACTATATTTGTTTACCATAGCAACACTTTGGCGCTACGTTCACTTAACAGCGTTACATTTCTTCCATATTATAACTATGTCTATGTATATGTCTATGTCTTATCACTTAGTAAGAGGCAATCGGCCATTAACGGCCTTTAAAAATATACTCGACATTTAAATGCGCGAAGAATCGAATAAGTTGTACTCAATAATATGGAAGTACTTGTGCACATGCTGTGCTAGAACTCAGACATTACTAGCGACGGAGCCTCCGGTGCCGCCGTCTGTAGAATAAGTAAACTTTGAACAAATGAGGTGCTCATGTGGCGTCATCTATTAGTAGGGATGAAAAGCATTTTAGTTGACTGGAGCTCTGGTGGCCCTATCTCTTGCAGGATGTATTGTAAGGCATTTTTAAAATTTCATAAAAATTATTCTTCTGATAAGCAAAAATTGGCATGAAGTAAAATGATGAAAAACTCAATTTGCAGTACATTGAAACACGTTTCACAAGGGTTAAAAACTATTTACACACAAAGTGTACCTGCTTTGGCAGGAACAAAGTCCATAGCACTTTGTAATTTGATGAGTAAAACTACAAGTAAAGAAAATGAAGTAAAATCTTGGCTAAATAAGAAGAAAACAAAAATATATACATTACCACCAACTATTATGGTGAATAGTGCAAGGACTCTTGTGACATTGTTCAATTGTGAAATCATAATTTCCTAGTTTTTTGATGATATTCTTAGGGTGACTGTACATTTCGTAAAAAAGTTATGAGAAGCTTTTAGAATTTCAGAATCCGTGGGTTTAATTTTTAAGTCATTGTGAAGAGTGCTGTTTCATACGAATCAAGGTGCATTTGTAATTATTCGGATGGCCTTGTTTTGAATTCTTTGTATTTTTTCGCGGCGGGCGGACAGCTTGTAGATATATAACTCTTTTTGTAGCGAGACTAAGATTAGAATTTCTCCCTATGAGTGCATAGATACTGCCTATTATTGGTTGGCTTTTTTATCTTTGATCAGATATTTTTGATACAGTTTTTGAAGGTTAGTTTTTGATTGCGATAAACACCTAAATATTTAACACATTTTTCATTTGGGATGGAGATATTATTAACATATTATAACTCAGAATGCATATAAATTTATATCACTGGGAGAATTATCTAATCATTGCCACAAGTTCTATTTAAATACTACAATAAATCTAAACTGATGTATAAAAGAAATTAAGCAAACAAAACAAAAAAGAAACAGTTTTTCACAGACAATTCAGTATTTCTCATTCAATTAATTCAGTTCTCAATTCCTAACAAAGCAAAAATACATAAAAACTCAAAATATCTATATTACAGATTATGAAGTAAATCTGAAACACTTATTTCCTCGAATAAATTCCAGAATGGATTAAGCATGATTTAATTCGCAATAATAAAAGAAGGCGTTACCTTTGTTGTTGCAAAGCTTAGTTTGCTAAAGTCACTAAGTATTTTAGTATTTTGCTTTAGTGACTTTGTTTCTTCAGTGACTTTGCTAAAAGAAACCTTACGCAATGTTTATAATTTCATATTCCTATTAGATCGGTTCCAAGGTAATTAAAAAAGAAAAAAAAAGGGGAGGGGAAAGGAAAAGAAGAAAGTTATAGTTTTTCACAATAAAAAATGACAAAATATAAAGGAAACAAATTATTATCTATATTTATAATTTGAACAACATATTAAAAAAGAAAAAGAGAGCAAAGTTCTTTCATATTTTCAAAATCTAGTTTAAAAATGAACCCATTTCCTGGGTTTCCACCATGCACGCTCAATTACATTTTAATAAGAAATAATAGATATAATCTACTTGACAAATTAAAATAAACTTACCAGGATCTCTGTCAATATCAGAATACTGTTCAAGTAATTTTGCATGTTCAGGCCTTAATTTGAATTCAGGTGGCTGCAAAGAAAATTATAATTTTATACCAGAAATATAAGATGAGATACTCCTTTTGCTTATTTTTAAATAATAACACAGTTAACAAACGTGAATTTATGCCATAAATGATAAGTTGTGAAAAAGGACAAAATTACATAGAAACTTGGTGGAAAAGATTAATTGATTATATTTTATAGTTTTGAGTTTGAAATATACATTAAAAACTTGAATGCTACAGTACCATGGAAGAGACACACATTTAGATTTTGAAAATGTACTTTAATGTTAATGTAAATGACAAATTAAATAAAAACTAAAATTTTCATCTTTCATTTCCTTAATAACACTCAAAACAGAAAAGTATAGCAATATTTAAAAATAAAAGGCAAATTAAAATTTACTCAATAAATACTTTATTTGATTTACTTATTATTTCAAATAAAAAAATTCAAAAATTTTCTCAGAAAAATCATTACTTCAGATGAACTCTAAAAGCTACACAATGTAGTTTTCAGAAAAATTATTCTGAAATTCTAGTACTTCTAAAAATTTAGCTAGAAATCATCAAAATTATTTATTTTTCGCTAAGCCTGTGATATGTTTTGATAACGTTATTCATCCAGAATAAAATTGATTAGTGAAAAGTTTCATTCATAAAAATGAATATGAAAAGCAAATTAATAATTTATAGAACAATGCACAACTTAAAAAAATAATAATAACATTCAACACTTATGAAAAATCCATGACTATAAATATGCAACAGGATTATTACTAAATAAATTAGTGGAATTGTCTCTACTAACATGAAAGAAGAATTGCATAACATTTATGTTCTATTTCAGATATTTATTTTGGTAAATTTATATTTAAAAAAATGCTAAACACTTAAAAATTGATGGAACAGATTTGTATAACTTGTGTACAGAGGCTAAATATGAAACTCAACATATTTAACATACGTATGGAAAATTAATTATGTCTTAGCAATCACACAAAACTTTTACTTGCTAAAAATGGCCTGCTGAGCAATTAAGATTGTGAAGCTACAGTTCATTCAGTTAAACAGTAAGTAATTCAGAGTAACAAATAGAGGAAACGACAGTTTTTAAACTGATATGAAATAATCACAAACTTTATAAATATTGTACCCATATATACCATAATATACTTTATAAATATTATGTATTTTCGAGCTGGGTCATTATACATAGCAAAGTGATATAAAAGAACAGTGAAAATGCAATCAAATTTTTATACAGCAAAAGCTCAATAATCTAGCACGTTTAAACTTTAGAGATGCCGGATTATTAAATATGTCAGTTTATTGGGCACTATTTTTGCAAACATATTTAAAGAGAAAAGCTTATTAACAAATAAATTTATTCATTGTTCAAATTACATCTAATCACTTTTCACTTTGAAATCATCATTATTGGGAGTGCATGAAATTTTTTCCTAACAAAATTTGTCTGTCAGCTCCATCACACAATCCTATTCTTCCTCCCTGTAGAAAAGAATATTAATTTTCCCCCTCCATTATTTTATTTTTTATATCGTCAGCAAATTCACAAATGTATTTAATGTTTCACCAGCCTAATATCAAGTAATCATGGTTGGATTTTCATTTTTTTCTACTGTTTGTGGATTCAACTCTGTTATGATATCATTACATACCTTTTGCACAAATGCTCATTTTTTTAGTCCATCTGATGATCTCATTTTCTGAAAACATAATTAACAGAGCATTAAAAGGAAGACCTTTCAACTCTTTTCAAAATTCAGAGCAGTTGATCAGTCAATCATCAATATTTTTAGCTTCTTTAATAAAACGATACCATCATTAAGCATTCTATAATGCTGTACTCTTCACATGTTTTCAGGCTTGCATCACTTAAAACTGCATCTTTGATATTGAACTCAGAATTCTTTAATGCAGCAGCTGGAGTTTAATAAATTTTGCCCAAATAAATCCTTATATTTATATTTAAAATTCTGAATGACTCCTTAACTCATTGGTCTATCCTGATACAAATTCAGAGATCATAATACATGTTCTAAAATTATCCAAAAATAGAATGGCTTTAGAGTTTTTCAAAAGGCTAAGCTTTTCAAAATTACTTTCAAATGCAAATAAAAAGTGCTAGAAACCACACTTTCAATAACTCTGCAGTCACGCAGGCATTTGATTGAGATTACAGGCAAATCAATGTCTTGAATGGTTCAGGCATTTTATATTTCCCAGTAACAAAAGGTTTCAGTTTCCAGAAGCCTTTCCACAGAATGAAATAACTCAACCTGTCTTCATTAATTTTAAAACCTTTTGTACATTTCTCTTCAAGCATTTTTAATGTAGAATTTGGAAAACACCACCATAATGATAAGTCTCATTCGCATTATACATTTGAAAATACAAGTTGATAGCTTATCTTCTATTATTAGATCATACTATTTACATGTGGAATCATTACATTTTAGATCTCATGAAATATTTAATACAGGGGTTCCCCAACCCTATGCCTGCACGCACTATGGCACCCGCTGATTGTTTAACGTGTGCCCACCGCTGTGTGATCACAATAAAAGTGCCAGCCTTCCAAGAGATATTCTAGAATGTGCTCTTAGGGACAAAAAGGTTGGAAACCCCTGATCTAATGTATACATGTCATGTTTTATATTAAATGGGAAATCATCCCTTCTTCAACAAACCTTCCAATACACTGCTATCTTTTATCAAATTTATTTTAAGGTAAAATTGCTTAGCTTTTAATATCAAAAGTCCTGTTATGGCTTTAAAATCTCTTGAACCATTTACATAACACAATATCCAAATGTTTGAACTCAGTTACCCCCTTTTTTTAAGTATCTGTCAAGTATTAAATACTTTTGGAAATACCAGACCCAGAAATTAAATGCTATGGCTTTCTTTCCTGCTGTTTGATATTACGAACATAAGAAGATCTCATCCTAAATTCCATTAGCTTTTAGTAAATTGTTAAAAAACACTCATTTTTGTTTTATTCTCTTATCCAGAGGTCTCAAACTGAAACTGCATGTAGGCCAAATGCAAGATTTGAAAACAGCTGATAGACCACATATTTTTTTAGCAAACAAATTTTTTATGAACAATTCACATTAGTGAAACATTAATAAAAAATATTTTACCTAAATATTAGATTTTGCTTACTAAATATTTATCCAAAAAATAAATAAACAATAATTATAATACAAGGGCACAAAATTCAAATTTATATTTGTTTTCTATATGAAGTCTAAGGTTTGATATCTGCAATATATTTTTGTTGGTCATGCTTTAATTCAGACATAGTTGCAGCTAAATATTAATACTTCAGACTCAATTTAGCAATCAATTTAGGACTTGAGGCTATACTAATGGAGAATAATTTTGAAAATCTATGGATCCAATCTGATAGCCCAGGGGTCGTCAACCCTTAGACCTTCACGGGCCACTACATATATAATTTTGTATTTGGCAAACCACTAATATGAATAAAAAAATGCATTTATACAATAATAACCAGCTAACTTTTATTTTATTAATGTGAAATGCACCCATTAAAGGTAACAAGGTTATAGAGGACTTATTTTTAAAAAAATGAAAAATTTAAGTATATGTTTTTAATGTGATATTTAACAACAACAATTAAAACACTATTAACATCTCACTGATACACATATTTTGTTCACGCTGAAAACTTATATGAGAAGTACAAAAATCTTATCTTATACAGAAAGCTTCACATTTCTATATCACTGAAAAGGAACTTCACGAAAAGCAAGAACTAACTGGCAAACCCAAAGCAATATCAATAAACTAAAAATGTTATGCCCCCAATTTTTAATTACTGTAAACTAATAATCATTGTTTACTCAGCAATGGTGCCACTGGTCAACAGTTAGACAAAACTTCCAGTGATTCAATTATAAACAAGAATGCAGATGGTTCTCATAAATATCCATCAAGTTGCCTATTGACAAGAAGAAAAACTGTGTTATTAACAACTAATAGCATATGTTTATGATCATTTAACAATAGCATATGTTTGTAATTCAAAAAGAAAGAGAATTCCGGTTTGCACTATTATTGATAACAGTAGCATATCCATGGATGCCAAATTTCAAGTATAATCCATATTCCATTACAGGTTTTGTTACTCGTCATTTTTTAAACTTAATCTTCATAAAAATATAAATAACGTTCCAATTTTTCTGTGGACTATCAAAATGTTTTCACGGACCAGCGGTTGGCGACTGCTGTGATAGTCAAAGCTCACTCCAATATCTTAGTAACTGGATTTACAAGGGCGATAAGACTAGTATCTCTGTCCTACAAAAACTACACCTACTTTCTCAGCATCATATCTATTTTCAGTGGATCCCATCCCACGTGGATCTTTATGGCAACGAAATGGAAGACAAACTAGCAAAGGAGGGCTGTGGCTTTTTAAATCCCTCCTCTGTTTCAAATCTGTTTCCCTCAGCTGTTTTCAAATCTTATTTTCTCTGAAAGCATCACAAATTATGTTGGAGTAGTTGGTGCTGTCCCACCCATCTCTGGTACCTGGGAGGCAAGCCTGGTTGGACTCTAACCCTTGAATGCGACAGGTGCTCCCGAACTGTGCTCTCACGTATTGCCAATGGTCATATTATAAGCCTCTCTTTCAAGGAGGGTATGAAAATCTTTGCCACATGCACCAAGTGCTGAGAACATCAGGCATCTGCAGAGCACATATTAAGTTGCTTGGGCCTGTCTGGGGAGGATATTTACTTCAATACCCTCCTTGTGCTCGACTTTCTTAGGTCAAGCAGGTTTGCAGGTCTTTTGGATCTTGTCTGACTTCATCAGAAACCAGAGCAAAAGCAACAACTTCAGACTAATATTTGATTCAAATAAGTATAGTATATTTAATCATTAAATAACCTACTTTAATTCAAATTCAAATTAAAAAAATTATGAAAACTTTCCAAGTGGGGAAAAAATTTGAAAATAAATAATGACAATTTTTCTTATTTATTAAAGTTTTCCTCCATACATAAATTAAAATACACACGTTTGTAAGTAAATAATTATAAATTTTGCATGTAAATACAAAATTTGTTTGTATGATGCCCATTTACTGGAGAAAAATTTCTAGAAATCCTTTTCATCACAGACTATAGATATAGATGTATAGACTAAAGATATAGTCAATCAGTTCCTTTCTTATTAATTTTTAACTGTCAAAATAAAGGGAAAAAACTGTTCACATATAAATGTATTCCCAAACAAAGCATTTATTCTCAATGCAAAAAATTCATAACTGTGCACACTCATTTTTATATTAAAAAAAAAGTAAGAATAATAGTTAGACAAATCTGAACCTACAAATTTTTTAAAAACGATTTATATCTGTAAATGAATTAGCTTAATTTACAGATTTTCTAGAGCATTATTCACTTTACTTTTTAATGATTATGAAATTCATATAAACTTGGACTTGAAATGACTAAAATCTTTAAATTTTTGCAACACTGTGTTATAACAAATACATAATTGAAATGTATTCACGGGCAGCTTAAAACTGCTTTGGAGGCTGCATGCAGCCTGCAGATTGCCAATTTGAGACCACTGCTCTTATCAACACTGTTACTGAATTTTTGAAAGCACTTTAAATAAATAAAGCAAATAATATATAAAGTCAATATATATATATATATATATATATAAAGATTAAGTAGAAATTACAAAAATGCAACACATTTAACAGCACATTTTACATCATGAACTTCAGTGAAAGAAGTGCCATATTATAAAGCATGCCAAGCCATTAAATTATTAAAATTAAAATTTTACAATATATTTAAAATTTTTGATATATTATTACTAGGTTTATGTTCAATCTTTCTTACATTTCACAAAAAAAAAAAAAAAAAAAAAAAAAAAAAAAAATTTTTTTTTACATATTTGAAAAAAGAATATATCTGAAAGGCATGACCTTGTAATTTCGTTAAACAAATTACAATTATAATAAAAAATAAACTAATATTTTGCTTCTTACATTGCATTGACCATTTAAATCAGAGTTTCCTAAACTGTGGGTTGTGACCCCAACTAGGGTTGTGGGGACCTGCAGTAGGAGGTTGGAAAAATTTTAGCAATTTTGATATTTCTTTAATTTATCATTATTTCACAATTACCAAAACATTTTTACATAATGTATCTGAAAATAGATAAAGATAAGACAATACAGACAAAGAAAAAATCAAAATGTTTCAACATATTTTTTTTTTTAATAGAAACATTCATTTTAATTTAAAAATTAAAGTTAATGACCTAAAACTGCAATAGTTACAGTAGAAGTTAAGAAACTGATAGTTTCATTCACACGCATGTCGGATTTGCGCAATACTTATGGGGGAGGGTCCCACAAAATTTTCATAAATATTATGGGGTCCCCACACCAAAAAGTTTAAGAAACCCTGATTTAAGCAAATAAACATTGTACCCAAACAATGAGATTTTTCATCAAAAATGGAGAAACTTGACATCACTGCCTACACGTAAGATCTTTGCTTTCATTTTACATAACTCTGATTAATTCTTGATATGCCAGAGTGGAAATATATGAGCTGCTTCATTTTTATCGATAATTGTTTTGGAAGGCCTACAAACTTATGAAATTTGAGTAGCAGAATTTGAATATTTTAAAGTTAATCATTAATATAATTTTGTAGATCCTAATACTAGTACACATGCTGAAAATACTGAAAGACTCTGGGATTTGGGAAAATGACACAATAAAAAATACTGCAGAGTCGAATAGTACAACTTCAGATTTAATCAAATTATGCGGCACCAAGTTCACAAAGAAGATAATATTTTGTTGCTGTTTTAAATGCCATTATGGATTTTTGGTTCCTGGAATGATTAGCACAAAATTTAATCAATTTGTTTAACAGATAATTTCAAAGCTTGGGCTCATACTTATTTGAGACATTTACAAGCTGCAATAGTAATTTGTATCTGTTGATTATATTAATAAATTAAGAGTGATCTGTGATTATTTAACTAAACATGAGTCATCTGTATCATATAATTGTGCTGAAATGATTGGTGCAAGTTTGAGGCGGGTCTCGGCCACCTTTTATGGTCAACAAGCGCCAACTTTCACAGTCAAGTGACAAAATGCAAAATTTTTATTTTAAAAATTCAAAATTAGATCTTCATAAAAAGTTTTAAAAAAATGCACAAAAAAGTATTATTTCAAACATAAATAACTAAGTTTCAAATCACAGAATATATTATCATTATTACAAACTAGCATTACAAATACCTTGAATCATGTTCTGAAAAGTACTGGGCTAGTCCATAAATTCGTGCACTTTTTTGGTAAAATTTTAAATATAAAAAAATAAAATTTAACATTTTAATCAATTATATATTTTCCTCCATTAACTACAATGTCTCGCCATCTTACAGGCAGCTTTTTTATGCCATTGCTGTAGAAAGACTGGTTTTGATGCAAAAACAACTTGAAAGTTCCTTGTTTAGAAGTTCATCATTCATTCATTTTAAAAGTTCATTGTTCATCCTGTTTAGAATTTAATTTTTTCCCAGTAAAAAATTTTGTAAGGCATGGAATAAGTGAAAATCACTTGGAGCAATATCTGGGAGTAAGCACGATGTTGCAAAAGCTCCCAATTAAATTCACTAATTTTTTGCAGCGTTGTTCGAGCCGTATGCGGTCTAGTGTTATCATGATGAAACAACACTTTCTTGATATTCATCAATCGTGGGCATTTTTTGATCAATTCTGAGTTTAGACGGCAAAGTTGTTCACTATAAAATTCTGAATTAATCACTTGATTTGGTTCTAACAGTTCAAAAGTCCTGACCAGGTTTCATCATCAATGCTGCTTTTTCCAACTTTAAATTTTTTAAACCATTTCTGGGCAGTCCTTACACTGATAGTGTGTTCAGCACGTACACTATTAATTTTTATCGCTGGAAACCTGGCAGATTCACCACACAAAAATAAAAAATGTAGCACAGCACGTTTGTACTGAATATCCATATTCATCTTCTATGGGTACTAAAATGTGTTTGAGTCAAACGATGACAAGTTTCAACAGGTTCAAAATTGTATTGTTTTAGTAAATGCGTCATAGTGAATTCCACGCTTACTCTTAATGTGCACAAACTTATGGACTGACCCGATATATTCACTAGAATGATTTTTATTTGTAGTTATTTATAAAATTAATGGATTTGCCAGTTTAACTGAAATTATTAATCATTCTCCACTAGTATTATTATATATAAAATTATAAATCAAATAAAAATGAATTTTTCAATAACAATTTTGAGATTCTGCATCATTTTAACAAAAAGAAATGTATAAACAAATATCCCTTATAACAGTTAATAAATAAACAAATAGTTAATTAAATAAGTCAGCAGTTATTATAATTAATTACATAAATGTAAAGTTAAATAAATAAAAAGAAAGGCAAATAGAAAATAAGCTCTAATTTTTATTTGTCTAAACATCTTAAAACATTTCAATTAAATTAACTTCACTTATATAGTATTAAGTATTCAGTAAATACTTATATAGTATTAAGTATTAAGTATTCAGTTTTTACCTTCAGTAATAATAGCAGCAAGATCCTTGAAATTTCTACATTATTTAAAATTGATGTGAAAGCACCAATACGTTCACCATTTTCTTTTACACCTAAATACCAATAATTCATTGCATAAATTACTAGGTTATTTTAAATACTAAATGCAAAATTTTATTACCAAAGATAATCAAAGTCAGAGAATTCTTTAAGATGAAAGAGATTTCCCTTTAAAGTAGTATTCAATTTTTAGCAAACCATTTACTTTCATAATAGACGCGGAAAAGAAAGAGAGAGAAAAAATTATTTTTTTCCACTATTGCAAAAATGAAATCTTTTATACCTCTATTCTCTTATGAAAAGGGATGAATAACTGAAGAAAAATAAACAAAACCTAAATAAAATATGAAAAATAATTATACATTCTGTCACTACTCATGATTCATGGGTCCAGCTAAGTAATTAATGGAGAATTAATTAGCTAATTAATTAATTATGGAGATGAAGAATCATTGCTTTTAAATTGCTTACTTTGTTAATCAACAACAGAAAGACTAAATTTGAAAGCCAATTCAAATAACTTACATTTTGCTGCAAGGCAAAACACTGGTGCATAGACAATAAAAATATTTTATTTCAGGTAATGGGAAATCATTGCTTTAAAATCGCTCAGTTTGTTAGTCAAGATTCCATTATGCTCAAAAGAAATGTAAAATATTTTTTTTTTTAATTCAAAATTTGAGCTTTGAGATGCACATGAAATACTAAGTGTGTTCAGAATTTATTGACTCTAAGTGCTGTTTTTCATGTAATTTCTGCAGCACTCAAGCTCTATGCGGGCAGGCATTGTCCATAAAGGAACATGCATACAAATACTTCATTATTTAATAATACACATAACCTGCCTTTCAGTTAGAATAGCTGACAATTTTACATCCTGTAATACATTCGTGCTAAAAAAATAGGCAACAAAAGCAAAACAAGCGAACAGAAAACTATTTTATGGATACTTATAAAGCTAATCCAAGAGATTGTGGCATTACTAGACCATATAACGAACAATAAAGAAAAGACACACACATGTATTACGAACATCACTTTGCAAAAGACTAAATGGATCAAAAGAATGTGCAATGGAAACATCATGCTAATAACAGGTATGATACCCTCTAGGTGAAATGCAAGCTTGACAATGGTGAGGCAAGCTAGCAATAGTCTTGTTGATCGCTTGTTATGGTAATAGCACCCACTCTGGTAGTAATGTATGTCAAAGCTTAAAGAAGGTGCTTGGCGGCATGCTGCTACCTGTTATCTGTCGTCCCAATGCGTCTCACATGTGCTCTATGCAGTTCAGGTCCTGAGATCTAGCAGGCCACTGTAGATGTGGAATGGTGTCATTCTCCAGATAATTTCTGCAGCACTCAAGCTCTATGCGGGCAGGCATTATTGTCCATAAATATCACATTCGTACATATTGTTGGAATAAGAGACACACAAAAGGGTGTATAATTTCGTTGTGATATCGGGCGGCTGTGCCAGAACCACCAGGAATTACACAGAGATCGGGGCAGCCATTCGTTGCTATCCCAGCCCAGACAAGTAAGCCTCCTCCTCTGTAATGGCCTCTTTCAATGATGCTTGGCCCCCAATAGTGTGTCCCTGGCTCTCACCATATCATTGTCTTTCGGAAATGCTTCTAGAGGTTAACTTGAGACTCAGCATGTTGCCCCACTTTTCTGGTGTCCAACTGGAATGTTCACAGGCCCAATTCAACCATTTTTTGACGTGCAATGGGGGAAAAGGGACACAAACCACATGTCACCAAAGATACAGTCCACCTTCATGCAGTTAATGTGACACAGTTTGGTGGGATACGGATTTTCTCTCTTTCAACAGTGGATTGTCTTGCACTAGCTTGCAACATTCCAACAGCCCTCCAACACATTTCATCATGTAAAAGGTGTCTTCGGCTCATGCTTTCTGCTTGGGCTACCTCAGATTAGAATGAACTATCACTGTTTGTAAAGTGACGCATAGGTCAGGCATGTCCTATTTTAAGGTGGTGTGATGTGATTGCAGGATTGCCTTTTATGCTAATTTTGGTTGCCTATTTGCATTCAGTGATGCAACTCTACCTCATGTGTAAATTGTATGTTTTATGTTCTCTTTTTAGATTTGTTTCTTTCCTTTTAGTGTTTTTTCCTCTTTTTCTAGCATGAGTGTATAACATGCAAGTAGAATAAGAAGTAGTCAACCAAGTGTGAAGTAAGCACAGTTGTACTAAAAGTTAGAACTTAGCGCTAAGTGCTGCTAAATTTAAAATGAATCATAAAAGTCTAGATGAGTATCCAACCAATCAGCAAGAAGACATGAATTCCATAAAGTTTTTTGTAATACATTATAGCAGTAAGGTAAAAAACAAGAACACTAAAACAAATAGTTAATCTAATGTGTTAAGTATAAAAAGAAAAAGAAAAAGTAAGAAATCACAATTACATGGGTTAATCTCCCTTGTTTGGAGCTTCATAACAGAACTTGTCAAGCGAAAAGTGTTTTGAAGCTCCATACCAGGTTGATCAACTAGATAGCTAAAACAAGTTTCGTTCCGACTAATTGACTGAGAAGTGTAGAACATAGTCATAGAATTAGTAGAATTAAGAGTCTCATTGCATTGTTGCTTTTTCGTAATAGTTTTAGTTGTCTAACACAAAAAATGAATTTTGAAAGATTTTTTAAAAAACAAGTTATACAAGAATGACTTTAAAAGAAATTTTCTATAAAAGATGAAAATTACTGTAAAAATAATACGAAAATGTCATACAATGTAAAAAAGTACAAAATTTCAAATTAGTCTCAGCAATTGAAAATTATTGAGACAATCTTGTGTACAACTAAAAAAGGAGTATCTCAATATTTTCAGAAGAAAAAAAACTTTTTAGAAAAGGTGTAAATTTTAAATTGAACAAGAATTACATGTGCAATTGAAAAAGCAAATTGCTAAATATTAAAAGATCATCTGAAATAAAGAACAGAGCAAGTCAAAAAACCTTACTAAAAACAAGCGCGGCTTTGCAAGAATGATTTGCGAAGATCCGCTGCGAAAATTTGCCATGTTTTTACAGAGAAGAAAGGTTATCAGAAGTAAATACAGTCATTTTTAAACGAATAGTCACCTGAGTAGAAAAGCTTATGTGTTCTTTTAATCGTTCTGGGATGCCAATAATGAGCTCTTGAAGAAAAGGATGTCGGAATTTGAGGGTCAAAAATTGCTTTATCAGAAGGTAATGCTTTCCAAAATGACTACTGAGAAGATTTTACTAAGAAGATGAACAAAATGGCGAAATGTCAAACTTGCTAGTTTGGCCAAAAAGTTCAGGAAAAAGGAAATATGTATATATATAACTTTTGCAATATATATACATAATTAAAATATTCTATATAATTATATAAAATAATTTATGTATCATGATATATTAATATACAGTAATTATATAATATACGAGGCACATCCAGAAAGTAAGTTTCCCGATGTTTTCCCCTTTAAAGTAAACATAATTAGCTGTGTCATTTGCGCATGCGTAACAGATCTATGACATATCAATCATATGTCAGCCAGACAGGTCCTGCCTTGTGCCAGTAGCATGGTAGCAGTGGTCCAAAATGGAAGCTCTTATTCCTTCTCCCGCCACCTGCGAGGTTTGGTCGGTGATAAAGTTCTTGAATGCACAAAGCATTGTGCCAATTGAAATTCATTGTCAGCTCTGTCAGGTCTATGGCATCATGAGTAAGTAGATGGTCAGTTGCTGGTGTAGGCAGGTTTCAAAAGGTCATCAAAGTGTCCATGATGACATCATGAGTAAGCAGATGGTGCGTTGTTGGTGTAGGCAGGTTTCGAAAGGTCATCAAAGTGTCCATGATGAAGAGTGCAGTGGGCAACCGTCCCTCATCAATGATGATCTTGTTGAGTTTGTGTGGCAGCGTGTGTTGGAGAAGCATCGCTTCATGATTACATAGCTAAGCAGCCATTTTCTGCAGATATCATGATCCTTGTTGCATGAGATTATCACTAAGCACCTGCTGTTAAAAAAATTCTGTGCCAGGTGGATGCCGAAAAACCTGACACCCGAACACAAAATTGAACGCTTAGGAGCAGCACTGACATTTTTGCAACGGTATCAAAATGACGGCGACGAGTTCCTCGACAGGATCGCCACGGGCGATGAGACTTGCATTTTGCACTTCACCCTGGAAACCAAGTAGCAACCAATGCATTGGTGGCATAGTTGATCTCCGGTCAGGACAAAATTCAAACAAACGCTGTCGGTATGGAAAGTGATGTGCACGGTGTTCTGGGACAGGAAGAGCATTCTGCTCATTGAGTTCTTTCCACGTGGTGAAACAGTAAACACTGACCGTTACTGTGAAACACTGCGAAAATTGCAACATGCCATTCAAAACAAGAGGCGTAGAATGCTTACTACAGGTGTTCTGCTCCTCTATGACAATGCTTGTCCACATACGGCTCGATGCACAGCAGCTGTTTCGACGGAATTTGGCTGAGAGTTTTTTGATCATCCACCCTACAGCCTTGATCTTCCCAGCGATTTTCACGTTTTCTTGCACTTCAAATGCAAGAAATTCCTGTCCTCTGGTGAGCATTTTGGCAACGACGAAGAGCTGAAGACGTCTGTCATACACTGGTTCCATTCAGAGGTGGCAGAGTTCTATGACAGAGGGATACAAAACATGATCTCAGGATACAACAAATGTCTCAATTCTGGTGATGATTATGTGAAAAATAGCTAAAACATTGCTGTACTTGTTGCCAATAAATATGTTCCTGAAAGTGCAAATTCTTTTTTTTTAATAGGGAAACATACTTTCTGGATGCCCTACATACTACAAATTTAAATTTCTTCTTACCTCTTTTTTCAGCGATAACCTGCATTTCAGTCAGAACTGTTAAAGCTCCATCATAGTCACCTATACAATTATTAAATAATGATTAAAAATAAAATTATACATTAAAAACATACACAAATTTAATTAATCTTTAATTATGTATTAAAGAAAATAAAAGTAATACTAAAAATTCTAAAATGCCAATACTGCTAAAGAAAAATAATAAAATACAAAATAACAAATATGCCAAACAGCAATATAAATTACAGTAAAAAAGCCATAATGAAGTAAAATATGGAAAATGTAATAACTGCATTAAAACAAACAAAAAGAGAGAACACAGTCCAAATGCAAATGTATAGTAGAATAACAGAAAAATATCTGAGAAGTTTGGAATTAGGATTATTTAGATTACAGTATAACATTTGATGGCTATCTGCGTTAGGAAAGAAGTTTTGAGGAAGAATGTTTTAGAAGAACTGACTCAGATTCACATTAAACATAACGAAAACTACAAAACTCCCATACAACAGCCCATATGCACAGATTTAAAATTTGGTAAAACTATCAATGTTATGCAGTTTTATCATTTGGCTGCTAATGGGATATTTGGGAAGGAATAAAAAACACAATTAACTTATCTTTTCCATTCCCTTCATATGAGAAGAAAGAATGAATAGTAGAAAAATTCAGTAATGCCATATTTCTGATATTAGAATGAAAAGGAAAGTTTAAAATTTTATTATATAAGAGTCATATTAGATATAAATTTAATAGCTATTTGCTTTAAAACTAATCCAAGCATGTTAATAAATATGAAAATAGCCATAGTCAAAAAATAAACCAGAAAAATTTCATATCTTCTTAAATCAATAAACAAATAAATAATATTTAAATAAGAAAGAACAGTTATATGAAATCAAATCAATAAAACCTTTATTCCTTCTTTCTCTTGCTTTTTATATATGAATAATTATATAAATTGAATAATTATAATATTATTCAAAACTATAAAAAATAATAATTTTGAAATGAGTAATTCTAAATTTTATCAATTTTAATTTATACTTTATTAAAAATTTCAGGTATTTCTTTTTACTATGTCAGAAACACAATCTGTTGATTGTTTTTCTGCATCTAATTACAAAGGCAAAAATAGCAAATTTTCTTTATATTTCTTTGCAGCTTAATATTTCATTGTAGCCACTTATGCATTTATTTTATTAAAATTTTTTTCTTTTTCTTTTTTTTCATTTTTTCCCATTGAATTGTTTTACATTAGTTGCTGTTTTCAGTTACTATTTTTTAATTTCTGCAAATTTCCTTTGACTTTTTCTTTGCCTTCAAAAATTAATTATTACAATTTTAACCTTGACCTACTTAAGCACATAATTTTATATTTCCACCTCTTTATAAACAGGAATTTTTTTTATGTGCTTAAGTAGGTTGATTTGGTTTGGTTTATTAGGTTACAGCACAGCACACTAGGGCTATCTGCCTAAGAGTAGGGATGCCTTTGTGACAGGCTTTCTAAGGGAAACTGGTTTATATACATGTTATGCAAGGGAAAAACCATGAAAGTGCTCATGTAGCCAGCCCATTTGCCAGGATTCAAACCCTAGAATTAATTACTAGTGTTCAAAGACTATATCGCTTGGCCACAGGTGACACGCTTAAATAAGTCCTTTTTTAGTGTTTTTTAATATGTGTGCATGTTAATATAATTCTTTTAAATTTGTGTTTCTGATATACTGAACGAGCACTTAAAACAAACACATGACATGCACACAAAAAGTAATATTAATTAGTAATTTAACTTGTACAATTTTTTTAAAGTTTAAATATTAAAGAAAGAGAATTTGAACATTGTCAAGCAATAATCAAATCTTGAAGCTGACAAAAGATAATAATATGTTAACTATTTCAGAAAAATTACTTAAGTGATAGCATAAACTTAGGGGAAAAATAAAGAGCCTAACAGAAAATAAATGTTAAAAAACTTACATTTTAAAAACTACAACAAACCTCTTAAGAATTTCTAACTTGCAATATGATGAAGAAAAAATGAATAGCCCACTATAAAAATGAAAAATTAAATGAAATAGTTTGCTAATTTAGATGCTCACAGCAAAATCAAAAAATACTAAATGAACTACTTCCACTTTCTAAGCCATTTTAAGCTCATAAGACAGTTATTGAAACTGAATCCACCACCAGCAAATTTATTTTAAAAAAGGGGGAGGCTTGGTGGATACAATAATTAATAACAAAATGTTCAAAAGTTCTCCACACGATGAAAGCATTATAAAAAAAGCATTAAAAAAAAAAGACTTGCATTGATATGAAATTGGTTTATATACTCACAAAAATGTGCAAAAAGGTACCACATTCTGTTACTAGTAATTGAACCTTAGATGCAACTTATCCACAGTCAATGATTTTAACTACTTAGGTACTCTTGGGTCAAAATATTTAATCATCAATCCCTTTAACCTTCCCATGCTGTTCCCATTTTATTTAAACTTTCAAAAGTGCAAAACATAAAAACATAAATTTCAAGTTCTTCAGTGTAAGGAATATCAATTTTGACATGGTGAATATTAATTTTATTTTTATTTTTATTGAACATAACAGATCTCTAAATATAACAATTCATGATCAATTACTGAATATGGCAGATAGCTAAACATAACAATTACTAAAAGTACTACTAAAATTACTCCACAATATAGTGTGTTTACATTCAAAAGAATATAAATATTTCATTGACTGATATGTATTTATATGCTTACCCAGCAATGAATTTCACAAAAATATTTCATTAATACAGTGAAACTTCTCTAAAATGACTATTAAATTTGTCTGATTACAAATTGAACTTTTTTTTTTGTTGCTGCTTTTTAGTCCAAAGAGGGTTTTGTCCCTGAGGGACTACTGTTTTCGTTTTGTGATTTTGTCTGCTTCACTTTTCAAACTGTTGCCACCAAATATTATCCCCTTGTGTTATATTTAAAGAAATTAAACAGTGAAGAATCTGCATAAATGTATGTATGTTTTTTGGATTGTGATAAACAACAGTACCTAGAGACATCCAATTTTGAATGACGTAATCCTACTGCGAATATGGGCATCTGGAAGCCCAAATCTGAAATTTGTTTTATTATTGATTTCATATTTTGTAAAACTTTAATGAATTTTTGATTAGCAAACTTAAGGATTTCAAAGCGACTAATAGCAAAGTTGTACAGAAGAAACATTTTTATCTCCAGTGCTTTGAGACTGTATCGGAAATTCTAAAGATATGCTCAATTTAAAATTATTTTGTGATATTATTCTTGAACTGAATTTTATGATTTAAATGCAAAGAAATGATATTTAATAAATAAAGGTAACACACAAAATGTTAAAAAAAGGTACTTTGGATATAATGTAAAATCTGAAACCTTTCAGATTTTCTTTTTCTTTTATTTATTTATTATTCATTTTTTTTTTTTTTTAACTTTTTCATGGTTCAAAAAGTGCCCTTTGCCTACAACTGGTATCATTAATACAGTCCGTAAAGTAGGTGGCACAATTTAACAATGCATATGAAAAATTTAAAAAAAGAAAACAAAAAAATATGATCACAGGTCTTGCAGAAAAGTTTTCATGAACTTTTGTATGCACTGTTGAGTATGTAAAAGTTGAATAACCAATTTTGTATTATTAACTGAGAATTTTTGCTGTTGTTCTATAACAAGACATTCATGTAATTGGGAGTATAATGTCATTATACTACGAATTTTAAAACAAAGTAATTTTGTTAAATAGAAGACATCAAATCTGGCTGTGCAAAAATTTTATGGAATTATAGTAATACTATCAGATGGTGAAGAAAGAGAAAAACCATATTTACATGCAAAAGAGAAACAACCTGTGATCAAAACATGGTTTACACTATGCAGTGAAAGTTGTTTCAAGTGTCATAAGAAATATCTACTTATGGATGCCAAAATAATTCAAATTAAAGTTAAAAAATTGTTTGAAAACAGAAAATTAACAATTTTAAAGTGAGCTCTGGATTAAACTCAGCATTACGACTCAAAAGTTTTAGCGTCATATCTTAACCATATATCGATTTCACAGAAGTAGCCAGGAAATTGTAAGAAGAAATTGGTAGAATTTTAGGACTTCATAATAAAGTAGAACACTGAAGAGATTTATCTCCTTGTTCAGATAAGAAATGATGACCAAACTTTGGTATAATACGACATGCCAGCAAATTATAAAAAAGAATAAAAAAAAAGGGGGAAAGATTTAAAATTATATAGATGAGAAGTAAAAACTGCACATGAATGTTATGTTCACATGCACTGATGAAGGACCTAAATTGTCTCCATTCATTGCATTCAAATACAAGACTGCACAAAATTCAGGGATATTTCTGGAAAGCATGATAAAAGCATCATCAAAAACAAATGAAAGTGGGTGGGTTACTGAGACATCGTAATAAAATGGGTTCAGCTGGTGTAGCAATGTCATTCTGAAACCTTGTTTTCAAGTCTTCTTGCCTTGGAATCTTATTTAGATCATACACCAGCAGTATAGAGAAAATTTGGATAACTATTATTCCAGATGGAATTACCTCAGTTCCTTAATGATTGCTTCAAAATGTTATTCAAGGACAAGTTAAAAAAAAGTACTTGAGCTAACTCTTCAGAAAAGAACAAATGCTTTTGATTTCAAAACTATGATGCATTCTAGTTTATTTCAAATGCTGACGATGCATAGAATATAATTATTTCTAGAAAAGTCATCACTGGTATACTAAAAAATCATTTGAACACACTTGAAAGCACAAACAAAAATCTTCAGTAAGACAACAGCAGAGAATAAAGTGATGATAAATCTAAATCATTTGATGCCAGCAACTGAACAATTAAATGATGTAAAATTTATTCTTTATCCTCAATTCATAAATTTTCCCTTTTCATTTATTTCAATTTTTTGATTTCCTAGGGTCAGTGTTTGACTTAATCAAATATATAAAGTACCATTCTATACAATTCTAATAATAAATTAATATATACCATCTTTACATATAATAAAAGAAAGAGTCTGTCTGTGGGTGTATGTGTGTGTGTCTTTCGTTTGCGCTGCGCGTAAGCTAATAGACCCACGGCTGCGAAATTTTGTACATAGGTGCATCTAGACAAGAGCCAGTGCACTTCGAAGCGATTTTTTCGAAATTTGAATTAGAATTTTTTTTACTTTATGTTTTGTGACGAAATTGCGTCATTTTGAGACATAATAGGCTATAGGAAAGTGAGATTTTACTCTACACACTCCATTTTCTCATCGCCATGAAACGTAGGTACTTAGCTATTTTATGAACTTAAAATAAATTTTGTGTTTCAATAAATCAATTAAATATGAATTAATTTAACTAAGTGAGCTTAATACCTTTTCAACGGGATTTTTTCTAAAAAAGTTATTTTTAAAAAGGTTATTTTTCTTTATTATTTATAAAATAAAAGTTTATTTTTAAAAAGGTTATTTCAGTTTATTTTTCTTTGATTTTTGGATACGTTAAACTTTCATCTTTGCGACTGCTTTTACAAAAAGAAATTTGGAAAAATGATAATATTTTGTATTTTTAAAAAAATTTTTAAATGAAGCTTCCGAGTTCACTTCTCACATCTTTAAAAATGTGATTTTGGCAACAATTTTCCTTTATTATTGTTGTTGATAGATTTTTGATGAAATCGCATCATTTTGAATAGTTTCATTCTTTTAGAAATATGGGTTTGGCAACAATTTTTCATCATATTTCTTATGTCACTGTTTTTAAGAGATTGGCATATTTCATTATCATTTATATATATATATAATATATTTTTATTGATTTTTTTTTTATAAAGTGTTCTACAGAGTAAACTTCTGTGTGGAATTTTATGCTTTTTTTGAGTTGCTTTCATGTTATTTTTTTCCTTATTTCACTGTTTGTAATATATTGAAAAGTTTTGCATGATTTTTTTCTTCAACGGCAAGTTGGTGAATTTTTTATTAGGATAATTAATATTTGTATTAAGGGATATAGCTTATTTCATTGCAATTTTTTTTCTCTTGAAAATATAAGATAAAACATCATTAATTATACTTTGCTTTTCAGATTTTTTTTTATTCTTTTATGTTATTTATTGCTCATTTCACTGTTTTTAAGATACTGAAAAGTTTTGAGTGATTTTTTTAGGAAACAAAGTTCTTAACTTCCTTTATACCATTTCAGCTCTTAAGATTTTTCAAAGGGAAGTTGGTTAATTTATTTGTTAGGATAATTAATATTTGTATTAAGGGATATTGCTTATTTCATTGAATTTTGTTATACATAATAACTTTTTTTTATGAAGTTGCTCTGCAGAGTAAAATTCTACGCAGTTTTAAATTTAACGTTTGGTGTTTCCTTCAGCCATTTTTCCAGTACATTTAAAAGCCAGACGAAGGCTGGCAGCAAAGCTGCTAGTTCTATATAAATTCTATATTACTTTGGTATTTCTATACAGGTTATTGCCTTAGAACATGACCATTGATGATGCTGAATTTGATTATCTTATAATATTTTCAGAAATACTGGTGGTCAGAGGTAGTCTTCCTTAGAAAGCTATTGCCATGAAAGGTTTCACTACGTTCTAGTTCAGAATTATACTTAATACTGAATTTTTAAATTCATAAACCAAAACTTCTAGTCAAGAAAAAATGAAACATTATTTAGTAATAAATGCATCTTAAGATTTTACCTAATCGTATTCGACAGTCACTGATTTCTTTAAGGTCATTCAAATAATCTAAAGCACACTAAATGGAAGAAGGGGAAAAATCTATCAGTCGCATAAAATGTAAACACAATTAAAAAAAACTTACTAAAAATATTGATTTGATTTAACTAAATTAAGACATTGCTTTTTCAATAAAGTGGAAACACTATACATGCTACTCAGATTATGTACAATAAATGTCAATGAATAATAATGCTTTTTTATCCTTATACCTACTTCAGATATTGTTTTCATAGGATTTAATTAAATCTTTAACTCATAAAAATTAATCCAGAGTTGAAAAATCCTTCATAAAAGCATCTAAATAACCAAAGCAAGTAATAATGTGAAACATTAAATTTCAGACACTGATGTAAATTCAAAATAAATAAATAAATAAAATGTTTCAAAAACTGTATAAAATTACAGCAAGGTTGGAAATCAATCAAAATTATAAGAAGCTATTTTTTTTAATGGCACTTCATAAATTTAAGATTGCAGTTGCATATGACCTTAAAATTTATAGATCACATCTTAAGAAACAAAGCAATCTAAAATTCAACATAGGTAAAAATATAACCCAATAAAGTGTATCAAATGCCATTTTATGCTTCCTTATTTAGTATTAACATTGAAAGAGGACTGCTTCTAAAACAAAATGGATCATCTGTGAAAAACCTACTGAATAGAACACTGCATTCATCAATCACAGCAGGAAGTAGTTTTAAAATCTTATAAGTAGCAAAATTCATGCTAATAATAGCTACAGTGTAAAGGATCAGGAACATATGTAAAAATGAAATGCAAAACCTTCTTGATAAAATCTCAATTCAAATATTAGCAAACTCAGGAAATAAATATGCATTTTTTTAACTTAATTATATGTATATTAAAAAATCTAAATACCTTTGGTAATTATATCAGCAAAATGAAACTACAAACATTAAAAAATTTTTGCATACTGATATTAAATCTTTTATGCACTTCAAAAGAATATTAAAACACATACATAATATTTTATTTATAAGAATAAATTGAGTTTAATTAAAAAATTAAGTTTAAATACATATTTAATTAAATATTCTTTGCGCGATTGCTGCAAGGAATGAAATTTAAATTTAAACAAATTTAAATTCTTAATAAATACATATAAAAGTAAAAAAGTAAAAAAGCAAATTTAAATTCAAAAAAGGAAAAAAGCCAAAATAATTTAAAATAATTTAAAAATATGCAAACACGTAAAAGATTTAATTCTCGAACTAATCTACAATATCATTTAAATTCAGAAGCATAAGCAAATCAAGTGCAAAATCTATCCATGAAAATAAATCTAATAATTTAATAAATTAAAATTAAATTAAACAATTTTTTTTAAAAAATGCATATGTGAATGATCATAGAGTAGGCAGGAGACAGACTTATCAAGGGGAAGTTGCCTCCAAACCTAAGTCTCCAATCATTCAATTCGTGTTTCGTCATTCATGCAGGCAAGGGTAAAAGTCAAAACCAAAAGTAATTCCAATAAAGTGGTACTTTAGAAATTAACATTTAAGTATTAACATTTAAGAATTAAAGTTCAAAAAGGAAAATACTAATTAAGTCTTTTGAGAAACAAGCAAGTAAAGTCAAGAATTAAACTTTTTCTTAAAAAATTAAATTTTTTTTTAATTAATTTTTTATAAAATAATAAAAAAGTCTAGAAACCAATGTATTTTAGAAATCCTTGTCTACAGAAACTTCCCCTACACGAATATGCATATCAATAAAAAGAAACTATAAAAGAACTATACATAATCCATAAAAACCAATAAGAAATAAAAAACAAAAAGAAACAAAAAGAACTAATTCACAATTTTTAAAATAAATATATATTTAAAAATATAATTTCATATTTAGAAAATACTTAGATACTACATAAAAAATTTTTAAAAAATTACTTAAAGCAAGTAAATAGTAAGTTTTAATTCTAACTTACCTACTAAATTAGTGTTGGAGTCTGCATTTTAATTTATTAAATTAGTAGATTTATTTTCATGGATAGATATTGCACTTGATTTGTTTATGCTTCTGAATTTAAATGATATTGTAGATTAGTTCAAGAATTAAATCTTTTACATGTTTGCATATTTTAAATTATTTTAAATTATTTTGGCTTTTTTCCTTTTTTGAATTTAAATTTGCTTTTTTACTTTTTTACTTTTATACATATTTATTAAGAATTTAAATTTGTTTAAATTTATATTTTATTTATATGTATAATATTTATATTTATTTGGAATTTCTTGAAACAAAGTTAAAATCCATTACAAGTTCCATTACAGAGCACAGCTTCTGCATTAAAGCAAAGTGCTTCAGCAGTATGCCATAATAAGAGCACCTATATAAATAGTTTATGATTTAATTTATTGTACCTAAATATGTGTTGATACAATACATGCATTGTATGCTTAGACAATACATTATACATCCTACCTGAAATAAAGAGACTTGTTGTTGCAGTTAATACGCTTGATATTCTTAGAAAATTTCTTGTAAAATTATTTTTTAAATAACTGTACTTTTTGTTAAAAATTCAGTGTCATAAAATGTAAAATAGTTATAACATATATATAACTGACATGTAATAATGTTCTCATTTAATAAGATACACATATGAGAGAAATTTGAAAAACACTGCCTTAATAGAAATTATAAAATCTTTCTCTTTTTAAGCAAAGAACAACTAAGATTCTAAATAAACAACTTTGAGGCTCAGTTTCAAATGCACTTAAAATATCTTTATATTCTTATAAAAAATAAACTGCATGCTTCTCTGATTTTATACAAATTTAAAAACAACAAAAATTAAAGTGCTTATTCAAAGTAAAAAATTTAAAAGAAAAAAACTGTGAAGCTAACATACTGAACGATGCAATTCAGCAGCTCTTATAAAATATGATATAGCTTGACTGATCCGACCAAGTTGCTTTAATGACTGTCCGACTTCTAATAACAGAGCTGCAGCCAGAGCATGTTGCTGACTGTCAAGATACACTTTGACACAATCACCATACGCACTAAGAGCTGCTTGCAGATGTTCACTATATGAAGGACAAAGCAGCTCATGATTAAGCTGCTCAGCTTCCAAAAACAGCCTTGCAGCATGCAGTAAATTCTGTGATTCAAAAATAGCATTTCCATCTGAACGTTCACATCTAAAATTTAAAAATAATTTACATGGTGATTCAGCATTTGTTATAATATACGGGGTGTCTGAATCAAATGTACCTAATTTGGAGAGGTCGCTCTACTTAACAGAAAGTTTAAAAGCATAAGAAAACTATAAAATTAGATAACAATACTCAGAAAGTTTTCATTAAACAATCAGTACAATTCCATGTGAGCTCCCTTAGTAGCCCTGAGAATGTCCAACCGGTACTCCAGTTCCAGCCATGTCCGGTGTAGCATTTCTGGAGTCACAGTAGCAATAGCCGCGGTTATGGAGGCTCAAAGGTCATGGATGTTCCCCGAGTAGACTGTCTTCCCCATAGCTCCAAAAGAAGAAACCGAGAGGTGTCACGTCAAGAGATGTTGGTGGCCAGGCACTTTGGGCCACCGTGTCCTATCCATCGGTTAGGAAAAGTTATATCTAGTAAACATGCACTAACATGCTTGCCCCAGTAAGGAGGGGCTTCATCTTGTTGGAAGATAACAGCGGGTTGTAAATGTTGCATTTGGAGTATTGTGTAAATTTGTAACATGTCCAAGTAAATGTTTGCCATCACAGACGTCTCAGCAAAGAAAAATGGTCCTATGACTATATCATATATCATGTGATAGAGCACACCAAATATTGATTTTTGGGCTGCTCCATTCCAATTTGTGTAGTGAATGGGAATTTTCTGAGCCCCAAATTCTGCATTTATGCTTATTAATGTTGTCGCTAACATGAAATGTAGCTTTGTCTGAAAAAAAGATGTAGTTTAGAAAACTGCGTTCATTTTTGATGCGAGATAACATCTCCACAGCAAATGCTGCTTGCTGCAGCCCATCATTTGGTTGCAGTTTCTGCACAATCTGCATTTTAGATGCATGCAACCTCAATTTTTGATGCAGCACATCATGAATAGTTGATCGTGGCACATATAATTCAGAAGCTGCCTGCCTGATCGACTGACAAGCTCCGAACGAAAGCTTGTCGAACTTCTTCCTCATGTGAATCGGAATGTGAAAGCCGATCACCCCTGGATCTTTTCCAGACACTTCCCATTTTGAGAAATGTTTTAGGCCACTTTTTTATGCTCTTAGCTTGGAGTGGATTTTTTTTATAAACTGCTTGAAACATTTTTTGCACTTTTACTATGGATTTAGCTCTGCATACCAGAAAACAATTTGTGCCTTCTCTTTCTTCATGTTTCTGTTTGTCGGCTCAGCAAAAGCACAAGAAAAAAATATTGTCACCAAATTCTACGAAGTCAACTCCCACACGTGGCCAATAATGACCTCATAGCACTAAAACTTTGTTTTTTAATAGACTGTTCAAAATAGATACATTTGATTCAGACACCCTGTATTATACTGATAATAAAAACACTAAATATATACATATAATACAATCTCTAAGGAATCTAATATAATATTATCTCTAAGAACAGCAGCTCCAATTCCATAAAATTTTATTCTTCTGCAGAAACGGTAATTTTGGAGTATATGACTATCAATGATGGAGATTATTAATTTGCATAATGGGCTTAAGTAATTACGCTTTAATTCAACCACCGACAAATTTCGTCAAATTTTCAGATTGTACCAAACTCTGGTAATCATTGTGCTGGCAACCATGCTCATAACAATCAAGCAATGCTACCATTTTTGTACACATTCTTTTTGTCATACTCCGAGTTCAAACGCTTATTATAAACAAGTCATGACATTTTTGCCTTAAACTTAGTTTTTAACTATGAGCTTGTAGGAAAATCTTCGATTTATTTAATTACTGCTTATCAAAATTTAATTTATTAAATATTTTAAATTTATGCTACACAATGTGTATTTCAATTAATTAATTGTACTGTTTGGTTTAATTTTAAATGGGAATTTTTGTACGAAAGATTGGTAACTTCTTTCACTCATTACTTGCAAATGCGCTGAAACACACAATGGAATGGGGTAAATTTTAACGTAATAAACTAGGATTTCTGTGCCTTAATTTAAGTTGAACTTGTGACACCGAGTCATTCTCCAGCCTTTTATTGTTCCTGCTTTAAGACCATAGAACTGTTCCTGCTTAAAAGACATTAGTAATCGACATTCCGAAGAACTTTTGGACTGTTCATGTTATTTTCAACTTAACTAGAATTCCCATGCGCTATAGCTGATGAGGGAGCTCCTGACTTTGGACGGATCATGGAAGATAAGTCTGTTTTTCTTTAAATTAATTTTCAACTTAATTTGATTAGCTAAGTAATTGGTTGACGGAATAATAGTTCTCCATGTTTTAGAATTTTTTTTAAGTACAAGCGGAGTAGTAACTTAGAACCTATTGGAAAATAAAAGGGAGTTCTTAAATAGATTGTTAAAGTAAATTGATTTTAATTAAAGATAATTGATTAATTAGGTTAATTTAATTTTGTTAAGATTAATTGTTTAGTTTCTCAGACGGCTTGAGAAAACATTCCTTAATTCTGTTGGCAAGAATTTGTTAACGTAAATTCTAATTTTGTTTACTCCTAGAGAATTTGTTAAAGTTGTTTTCTTCTTGATGATAATTAAATAATTTAAAACTGTGCAATAAAAAGTTAATTAACTTACATCTGAACCGGTTGTGTGCAATTAATAGTTCTTGTAATTTTTCATTAGAATGATTTTCTGCTTAAGAAAAAAGGGAAAAAACAAATGTTTGTACTCCAATGTTTGCCCTGTCATCCTAGCATTATTATAATGTTATAATCAAGATGATTTGCTTTCTTTAGTTTTGTAAAATCTAATTTAATCCCAGTAATCCTAGTGTTATTGTGTTAATTGGAAAATTTGCAATAATTAAGTACTTTTGTTTTGAAATCTGAAAGTGTTCTTTAATACCAGTGTTAATAACTAGTGTTTAAAATAAAAAATGGTTACACTGTTTGTCAAGGAAAATTGTTAATTGCTTTTCTTTTTTTTTTATCTCCCCGGGAAGGGTAATTTTTTTTTTCTTTAACTGATTATAATAGCCATATTATGCTCTAAGATTTTAACCTATTGGATGCAATACTACTTTGAGGAAAAAATAAAATAAATTCATATTTTTATATTTGAATGAAATGAATGGTATGTTTTATTTTACTTTACTACTGACACCCACCAGTTTACAGATTTATGGTCTTTACGGCTAATACACAACGCAATTTTTTGTCTAGGTTAGGTAGTGAGGAAAATTTAATTATGTGTCTTTTCCGAAAAAGGCATATAACAAGCTTATGGAATTTGTTAGCAATGATGAAACTGCAGTGAAATTTCTGCAGGAATACATAATCTTGCTGGAAATTTTCTAAAGGGTACAACATGGAAATGCATTTCCTAGATAGCCACTGTTGTTAAGTTTTGCATAAAGCCAAATTTTCACAATTTTCTGACATCTTTCTTAAGCAAAAACAGATCGCTGTGTACTTGGGAAGAAGAATAAAGGGAAAAAAATTACAGAAAGAATTGGATAAGAATGTGTTTTATTTTTTTAATAAATCATGTAATTCTTATTTAATTATTAAAAGTATTTTAAACTTTTAAAGTATGCCAAAAAAGGTGCAAAAGCAACCAACTTGGACCCAATAAGTAACTTCTACCTTTTCACCTATAACAAGTCTGCCAATTGTATCAAGGTGTTTTCTTTAATATGCAAGTAATTGAATTTATTTTATTCAAAGGCCTTGGAATATGTCAAAAGGAAAATAATTAAATGTGGTGGATTAGTTTATTAATAATGCTATATTAAGAATACATTTATAATAATGCTGTATAAGAGGAATCGGCAAACTATGGCCCGCAGGAAGTTTCTATCCGGCCCGCGGATAGAATAAAGATTTCAAGACTTCAGTGCCATTCAAACAGAATTGGATATTTTTACCATGCCTTTCAATGTAAACTGTGAAGCAGTGAGGTCAGATTTGCAGCTTTAATTAATTGAGTTGCAATCTAACAATCATCTCAAGCAGTTGTTTCTTAATGTGCCAAAGTTAGAGTTTTATAAATCATTATCGAAAGTAAGTTTCCCAAATTTAATATCTCACGCCAAGAAAATCAGGGCTATGTTTGCATCCTCTTATATATGTGAACAAGTGTCTTCAACTAAGAAACTTAGAAAGAATTATTTCAGAAGCAGACTGACAGATGAGCATTTGCCTCGTTCCTTAAAATCAGTACATCTCACTTAGAAACTCGATATAAGGAACTTTTAAAAATGAAATTGCAATTTCATTCATCCCCTTAACATATTTAAATTGTAATACTTGTATATTGTTTTTAAAATTTTAGAAAATTTATCTTGGCCCGCCAAAGTTTTTTTTTCGATTTTTGGCCCACAACTGAAAAAGTTTGCCCATCCCTACTATATATCATAAAATGCTTACAAATTTCATATATCTGGGATTGATGCTTAACAAAAACAATTTTAATCCTATCTGACCTACTGTTGCAGCTAATAAAGTTTTTTATGGATTAACACTTTTATTTAGCTTTTTATATGGAAAGACAAAGCTATCACTCTACCCTAATTTGTCCTGTGCTTACATGCTTTGAAGACCTGGACTATGACCATGAAGGAGAAAGGGATCTTGGGTACTTTTGAACACAAGGTCTTGAAAAGTGTTTTTGGAGAATTCTGGAAAATGGTACCTAGCGTATAAGATGCAACACTAAATTATACCAAATATTTAAAGAGCCAGATGTGGTTGATTACATTAAAATAAGCCGCCTCATCTGGGCTGGGCATGTTATCCGTATGAATGACAGTAACTTACTAAAAGAAATATTTCAGTTAGACTAAGTAACACAAGAAGAAAAGGAAGACCTACACTTGGATAAATGCTGTAGAGGAAGACTGTTTAGTCCTTAAAACTAAGATTGGGGGATTTGGGATGCTAGTAGAGATGATTGGAAACATCTAGTACAGAAGGCCTTGGCCTAACCTGGGCTGTCGTGCCATGGATGATGATGATGACATAACATAAAACAATTACAAATTAATCACAAAGAATATTATAATAAAATGAAAGATTTTACGAAAAGACTGATTTTATAAATTTCCTCAAGTATACTAAATGAATAATATTTTAAAACACAGAAAACTGATCTTATAACTAAAACCAAAACCAAAAATTGCAAAAATTTTAAATTACGATGACTTAATAATTTGACAAACAGTCATTACTCATGCAATGAAATTTGCCTACTTTCATTTTTCTTACCAGTTAATCACTTCTTTTCTATAGCAGTTTAAACTTTATGAATAAATCAACCACTTTAATATTTCCTTACAAATCATGTAAGGGAACTTGGGAACTTATATTAGTTAAGTTAAAACAATGAGATCACAACCTAATCACTTTGTTTACCAGAATTTACAACTTATAAAAAGTTACTTCCAAAATCTAGGATTTTTGATTTGCATATCACTGCATTTTCAGTTTAGACATACATATTTTTAAACTTCCAGATGAAATTAATTGCTTATCTCTGCTATACCCTTTTAGTACCCTCAGCATTTAAATGTCAATGGTTTAGGTAGATATCAAGCAATACGAAAGAACTGCCTCATCAATGTTATTGGCTTGAAATCGTTATCATTTATTAATTTTTTCAATCAATTAATCACAGTAGTTTGCATAGACAGGAAATAGAAAATTACCATTAACCGTTCAGAAATAAAATGAACCGTTTAAAGTGTACTGTGTCAGAAATCAGTCTAGAAAATAAGTTACACTAAGCTGAGATGCAAATGAAATTTATGCTTCAGAAATGCATTAAAAAAAAAAAAAAAAAAAAAAAAAAAAAAAAAAAAAACCTTTGAAAGTATTTTTTTCTGTTAAAAATACATTTCTTAATTTAATTAGTAGTTGGAAATATGTTAGGCTGATATCGTAATTATGACTTACGGCATTTTTGGTGGCCATAAATAAAAGTTTTTGTAATTTAAAATAATGTAATAAAAAAAGGCAACCTAGGTTTGGCATGGATTTTGAAAAAACTCTATTGATTTCAAGAACAACTAGACATATGTCCTTCTTTTTTAGTAGCACAAACTTTAATCCAACCTTAAGTAATTTTTTACTTAATTTTACTTTGACATATTTCTATTCCAGTTGGGTATTTAATAGTTGTCAAGTTAGAAAATAGTCTTTTTTGAAAAGAATATTAATAAATTATAATATTCTTTATATATTATTCAAGAATATTATAATTTATTAATAATCTTGAAATACTGATCATTTTTAGAGGTAATTACAATACACAGGTTCACTGTAATTTGGAGATCAAGGTTAACTACACAAACAGTTACAGTTAAGTTAAAAGAGTGAGTGAGTGAGTGAGAGATTATGGTGCAAAACCAAAGTTGATTATAGTGCGCCAAACGCGAGATGAGGTGAGCACAATTAATGAAATTAAAATACAATAAATAAAAACAAGTAGACAAATGTGTCAAATCCAGAGGATGAAGTCATATAAAAACAAGTTAAAACCACACATTTAAAATTCAAGACACAATTTTCAAAACAAATTACATTAGGTGATAAAAAGCCAGTCTCTTTTAATAATAAAAAAGTTACAATTCACCTCCCTTCTGGATTAAACGGTCGAGAGGTAAGTCACAACTATTAAAATACTTCTGAAGAGGACTTATTAAAACATGTACACTCAATACACTCAATTAAAATATGACGGACTGATAGACCAAACATTACAATTTGAAACTAATAGGCGCATTCTCAGCTTTCAAAGGATAGTTATGTGTCACTCTAGCGTGACTAATTCTTAGACGAGTTCAAAAGAACTTCCTCCTTGCGATTTCTTGTAAACTCCCAATGCTCAATTCTAGGCTTTACACTTCTCAACATGTTATTGACAGCTGAAAATCCCAAAGTTGCTGCCATTTTTTAAGATATTTCTCTTTGATGACACAACAGATATCGCTAGCAGGGATGAGGTAACTGGACAGTTCAACAACAAATTTCGCTGTGATACTCTGCCAGCTTATTTCCCTTTATTCCTGCATGTCCGGGAACCCAGCAGTATAGTATTTCATATCCACGACTATTAAGGTTTATATTCAACTTGAGTGCAACTGAGATATCACAGGATGGGTATTGAGTGCTTAGGGAAAAGATTCTAAAACCTTCAACGCACTGTACGGAGTCAGTATATAACTAATAAACTGTTTTATGGCAGACTTAGCCTTCGCATGTACGAAAGACCAATAATATAGTGCAGTTAGTTCAGATGTTAAGACAGAGAAAGCATGGTGTGCAAGCGTCTGCCCTCCATGTGATCTTTCAATTAGAAATGCCATCCCGAACATGATCATTTGACTTGGATCCATCTGCATATATCTGGAAGATAACTGCTATATTTATGCCTGTGCTCAGCAAAGAGTTGTCTGTAAACGATGTCGTTAGTGCTTTGCCTTTACGTGATGGTTGAAAACATCAAGAAGCTGGATTCCGTGCATTTCCCAAGATGGGATTTCTAAAATTCTGCACCTCTTGGGGGCACATATCAGAGAGGGAGAGTTCCTCAATGATAGGGCGAACTCTTAAAGAAAAGGTAGGCACACAGGATGGACGGTTTCAAATAAAGTGTTACACACATCATCAAATAAGTACAGTTTATTGGGATGTTCAGGTTGTGATAGAATATTAAAATATTGCAATAGGGACAATTGCTCACGCCTCAGATAAAGTGATGGTTCGTTAGAGTCAACATACAGGCTCTGGACAGGAGAAGTTCTGAAAGCTCCCTGAACAAATCCGCAGAGCTTGATGGTGAACAGGATCGAGTTTTAACAAAACTGATGACGAGCGGATCTGTAAACAAACTGAGCCATAGTCCAGTCTAGAGCAAACAAGCGCTCTGTAAATGCGAAGGATTGAGCAACGCTCTGCACCCCAGGAGTTGATCGCCAAAACCTTTTGTGTTGGCTTTAAACACTTCTTTCTGAGGTTTAAAACATGAGAAAGAAAGTCAATTTTCGGTTGAACGTCACCCCTAAAAATTTACTTCAGGCGCAACTGGAATAAATTTACCGTTCAGATATATATCAAGCTGAGGATGGAGACGTCGCTTCCTACGAAAGTGCACGCACAATGTTTTCTGTTTCAAAATGTAAATCCTTGTTTGTCTGACCATTCTTGGATCTTCTACAGAGCCATCTGCACTTGCCTCTCCACGTATCTCATGTCTGTCCCTCGACAGCTAATCTGTAGATCATCAACATAAAGAGATCCCAAGATGGTGGAAGGAAGTTCTTTTAATACAGAGTTTATTTTGAAACTGAACAGGGTTACACTAAGCACACAGCCTTGAGGCACACTCTCTTTCCTGTTGAAAAACATCCGAAAAAACAGAGCCAATTCTTACTTGAAAAGTTCTAGTGTTCAAGAAGTTCTGAATGAAAATTGGTAGGTTGCCGCGCAAGCTACTCTCGTGAAGATCCCGGAGTATACCGTATCTCCATGCCTTATCATAAGCTTTTTCAATGTCGAAGAATATCGAGACAAGGTGGCTTCTTCTTACAAATGCTTTTCGAATAGATGTCTCTAAGAGGAGCATGTTATCTACGGTTGTTCTCCCTTTTCGAAAACCACTTTGATAAGGCGATATAATATTATTCTTTTCCAAGAAGTAGACTAGGCGGCTGTTTACCATCTTTTCAAACAGTTTGCATACGCAACTGGTAAGTGCAATTGGCCGATAGTTGGCAGGATTCCTTGGATCCTTCCCTGGCTTAGCAATAGGAATGACAACAGCTCTCCTCCATGCACTGGGAAAAATACGCTCCTTCCACACTCTATTATAAAGAGCGAGAAGGGCAGTCAGTGACTTATAGGACAGATGCTTTAGCATTTCATAATTTATGCCATCAAAACCCGGAGAAGACTTATGTGTCTGCAATAAAGCTCTCTTTAATTCCAGCATTGTAATGCTCTATTGTAAGACTCGATTTGGTAGAGTTGAATGCGGTGGGATTTTTCAGAGTGCTGCTTGATAGAGAGAAATGCAGGTGAATAGTTTCTGCTGGAAGAGAAGGCAGCAAATGTCTCACCAATAGTATTTGCAATTTCTTCTACGGAGCTAATCACTCGGCCATCTTTTTCCAGAAAGGAAAGTGAGTGGTCTTTATACATTCCGCATGCTTTTCGAACTCTTTCCCAAACCCGCTTACTAGGTGTAGAGGATGTTATTGAGGACACATATGAAATCCAGGAATCCCTCTGGCTCTGCCTTCTTATTTTTCGTGCATTTGCTTTGGCTCTTTTAAAGGCTATGAGGTTTCGCAGAGTCGGATATCTACGAAAAATACCCCATGCTTTTTTCTGTTTTTTCAGTGCTTCATGACAGTCGCGATTCCACCACGGTTTCGAATATTTTAGTATTTTTCCTGATGTTCTAGGAATCGAAAGCATAGCTGCCTGAATAATAGTATTAGTAACAGCTTCCACAGCGTCATCGTATGCACATCTTCTACCATTTCCTCTGTGAGCTCTGCGGAGGAAGAGAAGATTTCCCAGTCTGCCCTGTCCAGTATAAACGAGGGAGTCTCGACATGGGGTTTGCTCCTCTTCGTGCAAGAGATACAAAAATGGGATAATGATCGCTGTTTGTACAGGTCATTTCCGACACTAAAAGTGCAAAATGGCAACAGAGACGGTGAACAGATGGCAAGGTTGAGAGCGTGGAATGTCCTTGAAGCTCATGGAAGTAAGTATCCTGCCCATTATTCAGGAGACAAAGGCTATGATCTCGATCATCTGCTCAATTTGTCTTCCTCGGCAATTTGTATCTTTACTACCCCAGAGCGGACTATGGCCGTTAAAATCTCCTATTATGATGAAAGGCTCAGGCAGCTGCTCTAGAAGACCATTTAAATCTTGCTGATCAATATGCTCATTTGGAGGCAAATACAGAGAAACAACTGCAACAACAATATCAAAATTTGTTTGAGTAGCGACAACTTGGAGGGATGTCATCAAAGAAAGCACATTTGAGGGATAATCCAGTGAGGTGAGGAGACCTACACCTCCACTGGCACGCTCACCTGCAAGGTTATCTTTCCTGACGAAGGAAAACCTCCGAAGTTTTGCCTGTTGTTCTGGTTTTAGATTTGTTTCCTGTACTGCGAAACATACAGGATGATAAGCATTAATTATGGCTTTGATGTCGAGCAAATTTCGGTGGAAACCGCGACAGTTCCATGAGACGAGGGTGGCCAATTATGTCTGGTTTTTGTTTTTCTGTGCTCTTGTTGGTTTTTCGTGGAAGTAGATGCCTGGGAAATTCTAGACCCTCCTCTACTTCCATAGTGTCTGAATCCGCAGATTCAGAAATCATTTCGTCAAAAGAGCTATTGCTGGAACTTCTATTTTTATTTGATACTTTTTAGTGGCAGTTTTGGGTTTACTTTGAATGACTGTTTCTTTATTTTGTATTAAATGAGTTGACTTTTCTGTTTTCTTGGTGGATGTAGTCGGTTGGGGTTTATTTGGTTTAGTCTGCGTGCCTATTGATGTTTGGGTGGCAATGCTACGTGTTGTTTTAACTGCACTGGCATAAGATTTGTTTGATTGGAGCTGTGTGCTTTGAACTAGTTTTCTGGCTTCAGCATATGAGATGTTCCTGGTAACTTTAAGAGTCTGTACTTCTTTTTTGGATTTCCATTTTGGGAACAGGCGTGAAAATGCTGGGTGCTGACCCTTGCAATTTATACACGAAGGCGCAGCGGTAGAATTTTCGGAATCGTGGCCAATCTGTGAGCATCGGGCGCATGTGAGGCTGCCACGACAAGACGTCTTAGAATGGCCGAAATGCTGGCATTGGAAACATCGCATAGGGTTTGGAATATAAGGTCTTACAGGAATATTTAGATATCCGGCCTTAATATTCTTAGGCAGATCAGGCGTGTTGAAGGTAAGGATCACGTGTTTTCGTGTCTATCAACTTACCTTCTTTACGCATCTTGATCTGCCTTACACCGCAGACATTTTGTTCGGATAACTCAGAAGCGATCTCTTCTTCAGAAACATACAGAAGGTCGAATTCTGAGATTACACCCCGACAATAGTTCAGTGACTTATGTGGTGTTACATTGACATTCGCTTGCCCAAGTTTAGTTATCTGAAGTAAAGAAGCAGACTGGGTGGCTGAGTTGTATCAATAAGCAAGTCTCCGGAGCGGAGACGCTTTATATTCTCGGTTCACCAATACAAGACTGGATGTATTTGTTATCACGAAAGGAGACATCTTATGCATTTCGCCAGAAGGACTAGAGATGACTAGGAAACGGGGGACTATGTTAGGATTTTTTTCATTTGTATCTGTACGTAATTTTTTGCAGTAGACTTTGAACTAGGTTGAGTGACTGGTTTAGCAGTAGACGTTTCAGAAATAGGTTGAGTGTCTGATTTAGCAGTAGATGTTTCAGAACTAGGTTGAGTGACTGGTTTAGCTGTAGACGTTTCAGAACTAGAATGAGTGACTTGAGTGACTTCGAAGTCTTTGATCAGAAAAATTTGAGAATTAGCCATATTGAAATAAGAAAAGATTCGGGTCCGACGGCCCCGCCCACCACGGAGCCCAACAAGGGAACACAGATTCCTGTGTTAGGGCTAGCCGGACCTATACGCAAACTGAAGCCCCACAGTCGGCTTTCCCGAAAGCAGGTACTCCCGAGAGCTTGATCTCAAGCCACTGACACAAGGACTAGTGACCAGCCGATTGACACCCGTGAGGACGACTAAGGTGCCTCCCGTTTAGCTGAAGCAGAGGCCAAAGCAGTGTGTTGGGGACAGTACCTCGCCCCTCAACTACCAGGACCCTCCTTTCCAGCGACACGGGTCTCCACGCACGGCAAACACGTGGGCAGTTTTCTCGCCATTTGAAAATTGGACGCAAGGGTTGTTCCAGTTTCTCGTGACGAGCCCCAAACTCCGTAGAGAGAAACCACAAGGGAGAAGGGAAGGGAAAAGTTCCAGTTAAGAGGAGAGGAGACGGAAAAGAGGATAGATCACTGGGGCTCCAGGATCGTGACACCCGTCTCATCAAGATGATCCCCTGAAGGGGTTAAGTTAAAAGAAAGAAAATTAAGAAACATTTTAATTATAACATTTTACTCTAATATATGACTTAACTACAAATAAATTTAAAAAATGATTAAGAAAGCTAATTTTAGGCATGTAAACAATTACTTAATTCTAAATCCATTATTCAAATTTTTCATCAATACACAACTAAAGTAGTCCTCTATATGTCAGTTTCTATTTAATTTAAATTAACAATAAATTACTTTAATAATATCCAATTATTACCTTGCTACAGCAAGACAACAAAATGCAGCATAATGTGGACACTCCCTGTTTTCCAAATCTTTTGCAAGCTTAGCTGAAATTAGATATCAGTAATCTGAATAATTTATTTTAAAAAAAAAAAAAAAAATCAAAATACAAAGAAAAACAGAGTAAATTCAAACTCACCAAATTGTGCACTTGCTTCAGCAATATTCGGTTTTCGTAAAAATCGCCTATAAATGAAGAATTTTGAATTAGAATTTCATAGAACTATAAATTTAGAGGGGGGGAAACACATTTTACTAAGAAAGTAGCAAAATAATATACAATTAAATTAATAAAATTACAGTACAGCATTTTATTAAAAAATACACATTGAAATTTACTTTTCATACAAAATTCAATTAATAAAATTGCAATTACTGTTCTAAAATATTAACTAGATTTGGAAAATAAGGATGAGAAAATTAGGTATTTTAATTATCTGGGTCCCTGTCTGAAAAGTTGACGACTCATTCATGACTAATTTTTCATCAAACTAATATGTGAGGCAAGAGCCATTCTGAAAATATTGGCAAACTAAGAATTCTCTAAAAGAAGAGTGAATCAGTAAAATAAAAAGAGAAAGAAAGAAAAAGGGGGGGAAAAGGGAACTGTAATAAAATATTAACCTTCTTTAAAAAATCCTTTTGTATATTTTTCACCGTTATGTATACAACAATCTGTTTTTGCTTTAAATGCACATGCTGTTGTTCTTCTCATACATATAGCAAACTGTGTTTCTATATTAAAAAAAATTAAAAAAATAAGAGGATTGCAAAAATTCAGCATTCTACTATTTTTCACATTTATTTTTGTGTTCTTTACTCTTGGGTAAAATGTCATATTTCTGAAGAAATACAATGCTCACAGATGCATTATGATTATTTACAAGGAAAAAAAATTCTCAATACAACAAAAACAAACACCAGAATAAATGAATGCCAAATCCATGGTCTGCTGCCTCCCCACATATACCTCAGTCACAACACAAATACATTTTGAGGACCTGGTGGGTTACCTACTTTGGCGACATAATGCATTGCTTTTTGAATAATTCTCAGGGAGGTGCAGATAATCAAAATGAACTAAAATTTTTGATAAATTGTTTATTATAATTGAAAAAAGTTAGTGACTCAAAAGTTAGGTGAACAGAAATAAATGATAATAATTTTTGTAAAAAGATTTTGTTTGTAGTTAATAAATAATTCATTCATTTTTTCCTCATTTATGCTGTGTTGTATTACAATGATGGGAATTTTTTTAATATACACTAGCAAATGGATAAAATCCATATCAGATCTTTTCAATTTAATTTATAGTTTTATTATTTTTTTAACTGTTATGTAAGTTACACATAATTGTTTAGTCCTTATCAACTTCGAATATTTCTTCACAAAATTAAATGAAAACTTAATGTTTGAAAGAAATATGATAATATTCACATATAAATTATTTTAGATTAGACCAGGGTTTCTTTCTTAAGCTGTGGGTTGCGACCCCAGATACATGAATTTAAAAAAATTACACAACTTGACATTACTAACATTAATCCATCTGCCATATAACCTCAAAAAGGAACGTCAAGTTATTGAGTGATTCAAATTTATAAGAGTTTCTACTAAAATCCTTAACTGGAGCTCGAACTAAGTCTCCCACCATTTTTAAAAGAGTTTTAAATGTTCTGCAATTCAGCATCATGTGTTTATGTGAAGAGACAAAAAATTAAAATGCTGTTCAACACTGAAAAATGTTAAGGATACTTTACATCATTCACAAAAAACTCTCAAGGATAAAAAAGGGCCATAAATGAAGAATGTTTTTGAAGCGCTGAATTACACAATTGTAAAATGATGTGAACTGCCACTGAAATTCTTGCTATAATATATGTGTACAAATATCTTAAAATCTTACGATATACGATACTTCAAACAGCCATCATTTCTCAAGCTCAATCTAATTATTTTTTGTAAGTTTATTATAAAAATGGATGCATTGCATTGAACTATAAATTGAGATCTACTTACCATTACTTTCTTTGATAGATTTTAATTATATTACGCTAAAAATTAATACACAAAAAGCACATTATGTAATTTTAGACAACACTATGTTATTATCTAAAACTTTCTAAGCCTCTGTAAAAGGGAAGTTAAATTTAAATATTTTTTTAAAGGTAAAACTAGATTATCTAACTTGAAATTCACATTTGTGCATTGTATTTGTCAGGAAATTTGCATTCCCTTTACATATGTCCAATACTGAAAAGAATATGCAGTGAAAGCATGTTAAATCTTTAGTGGGAAACTAGACTAAGTGTTATTCTCTAATAGTGTAGCACAGAATGCTACTGTGGTGGTAAATGACAAACGTGATAGTAGGAATTTAATCGGAGTGCCAAACTGCAGTACATTATTATGTAGCAATGCAACAGATCATAAATCCCAAGTGCAGGTGGATGAACATAATGGGAAGTGGACTCGATGGCCACGGCACTGGAAAGAAAACACTACAACCTATTGCTCAGTAGCACAAGAACTGTCTATCTTAATTTGTTCACATGATCTTACATTTACATATGACTATTACTCATAGTAATTTGTTCATAATATGTGTTCATCACTCATCTTATAATCTAAGTAAGTCTCATCTATGTAATTACATCTAAGTAATCAAATTAAACATTATACTATTCACTTATACTGTATACTCTCCATCTGCTACATATCTGTCACTAAACACAACATTAAATTATTTACTATAGTGGAACTTCATAAATTTACTTTAGTGGAATAAGTTTTATTTACTACAGTGGAATATGAATTTCACAGAAAAATGTTAAATTTTAACACAAAATCTACATAGACCATTAGCAGCTAACGGTCTTTTTGGTCGACTGCTCATTAATCCTAGTTTTTTTTTATTCCAAGTATACAATCTCATTTTTTTTTTCAGATTAAATAAATTAAAAGGGAATAAAAGCAAGATATGTTGTTAGAATCAATGGAATTTTCTGATTATTTTCATCATCACAAAACACTCACAAGAGCCAGATTCAGATTTGATAAAACCCTAAGCTATCTGAAATATGGGGCCCTTTCTAAGTCTGTTATAATATATTGTTATGTTGTTTTCTTCTGACACCAGTTGTTACATTATTTCCTTCCATCACGTTCGTACGGGGTTCGTGTGGATTTGGAATAACGATGACAAAACTTAATGGAATATCGAAACACGCTTTATTTACCAATATTAGTTAGGACAGCTCCAAAATCACTTTTACAGTTGTCGAACTGACACGCTGACACGTTCAGCAACACAACCTTCACACTGTCAGGCAAAAATGGTGAAGACAGCTTCACTGCAAAGCACCAGAGTACAGCTCCCGACTCTGCTTGGTCGTTCTCGGAGATTCTCCACACTACAACTCGCAATGCACTTGACGACACACAGAGCACAGCTCCCGACTGTTCGGTTCAGTCATTTCCAGAGCTTAACACATTCTCTTGACTATGCACTAACCGCAATACACTAAGAGACTCTTCGATGCACTCGACGACCCACTCGGCACTTGCTGCCCGGCTGTCAACTTGATCGGCTCTGCCCGGACTGACTAGATGAGACGCACTATTTCGCACTCTAGACGAGGCACACACTAACTGACTGACTGATTAGGTATTGCCGGAATACCGAAGTGCGGTTACTCCAGCTCAATCAATTTATTGCCACATGGGTGCATCACGTTAGACTTCATGTACATTAAACACGTAGGTAATGAGTAGGTAGGTAAAAGGGGACCGGTACATCGTGCGGTCGAAAATCCAGCGAACATAAACAGATAAAATGTGGTGAGAATAACATCATAATTCTGTGTGAGAAAGGAAAGCAAATATGAAAACAAAAAAGAAAAATAGAATAGTACTTTACAATAACAAGTCTATGTGCAATATATACACTATGTACATGTAGCTACGCACCAGTAATCCAAAGTAGGAAAATTTGAGTCTTTGGTGAGTTGAGCCGCTAACGGTCTAATACAGTCAAAAGTTGTTAATCCGGACTCGTCGGGACTTCGGCGATTCCGGATTATCTATATTTCCGTATTATAGATCATCAGTTTAAATCTGGTAAGATGGCATGCAGAAATTATAAAATTAAAAATATAAAACCGTAATTTATGAAATAAAGAACAATTATGATCTAAAGGGTATCAAAATTTACAAAAAAAAAAAAAAAAAAGCTTAATATTTATTTGTTTACTTTATTAAACATTTCTTTCAATGTAAGTTGTTTAAGTTGCTTCATTTTTTATGTGATAATACTTCTCCTTAATTCTATAAACAGATATAATTTCTTGTTTAGTTACAAAGTCATTATAATATTATAATATTATAAGTTAATAATTATAAGTTTAGATAAATAAACATTAAAGTTTAGATAAACAAAGGATATGCTTTTATCCATTTTTTGCAGCAATTCCACTTTTTGTTTAATGGATTTCAAAACATGCTTTCACTTTGTAGATCCTTTACATATTAGTAAATATATATCATAAATTCTATTTAACATAATCGAAAGTTCAAGCTTACTTTTATAAAATTGCTCTAACAGTCGACAAAAAATAATAAGCCAAATCCAATTCGAAGATTAAGGAACAATGCAATCTGTAACATTAACCGAATTAGATAATTTTAGCTTAGCTTATACCGTCCGTTATACATTAAACGCACATTCGTAAACGTATTTTGTGCACGCGCACACGCATATTCGCAGCCGTAAAGTTCTTACGCTGTGAGGAGTTCTTACGTCAAAGCGACGCATGCGCAGAAAGTTTGTAGCTTTGAGGTCCGGATTATGGGTGTCCGAATTAACGACTTTTGACTGTATTACAGTCCTCCACCAGAATCATATAATTGAGCATGTTCAGATTTGACAGATGTGCACGGTTAATGGCCTTTTGGTAAAAACTTCTATTCAGCTTATGAAGATGTTCTTCTATGATACTTAACTCCAGGTCCTTATGTAACATGGCATTACTTACAAAATAGTGAGTATTTGAGATCAGTCTAAGAATCTTATTTTGCAGCAGCTACAGCTTATGTAAGTCATTCTTGTTGGCCGTATTCCAGGCGGGTGATGCATAAGTTATAATCAGCCTTATGCTCATGATGTAAACAAGCCGTTTTCTGTGTAGGTCTAATCTAGAATATTTGTTCAACAGGGGCTTTAAGCTATTTATTACTGTGAAGGCCTTTTTTCTGACATTTGTGATATGGTTTTACCAGGCCAGTTTCTCATTAAGTGTAACCCCAAGGTATTTTGCATTTGACAATTGTGGGACCACTTCGTTAAACAAGTAGAGTTTTAAGACACAATAACATTATATTTAAGACACAATAACATCTTATCTTATCTAAACATTATTTCCTATCTTGTTCATTTGCGGTTTTGCAGCTGAAGATGATGGTTCGGTAAAACCATCGAAACTAGTCCTGTGAAAATTTTGTAAATTAACGCTGATTTTTGTTGTTTGACTTCTGATTTAGTATTAGAAGTAGAGTTTTCTCTTGAACTGAGTCGGAGTGTGTTTCCTTCTAACTAAAAGCAACTAGGATTTTGGGGCAATGATTGATATTCTCCACTTGGTGCACCAACTTTCAATTTCTGGCATAATGTCTTGTAGTTTCTTTACTGTGTGGTTGGCGTTAGCAGACCTCACAGCTAGAGCTGTGTCATTTGCGGAACAGTCTACGAAGTTATTTCGGTCCAGGTGTGTCAGGGGAAAATCAGCAACATATAGAAGATACAAAATGGGTCCTAAAATGGACCCCTGGGGGACCCCAGCATTAATCTTTCGAATATTAGTAGTATCCTTTCCAATGGAGACCACGAAACTTTGATTGTTAATGAAAGAGACAATTTTTTCAATAATCTCTCTATCAATATCATGAGGGGCTTATTTACAAGTTTATCAGCTTGTAAATAAGTCCCTCATGCCAGACGCGGTCAAAGGCTTTCGCCACGTCCAGCATGAGGATGGCAATATTCTGCCTATGGTGCAGAGCATCTGCACAAAGCTCCACAAGTCGAATAAATTTGTTTTTTGGTGCATAAGTTAATCCAGAATACGAATTGTTCAGGCGGTAGCATGTCGTGGAAGGGCCTGAGCCTGTTCAGAATGATTCATTCATAAATTTTCCCCAGACCTGAGAGCAGACTTATAGGCCTGTAGCCCTCAGGCCTGGTGGCATCTTTTCCAGGTTTTGGTAATAGTATAATTTTTGCTTGCTTCCAGGCATTGGGGAAATAGCTAATACTGAGAGATGCATTTATGATGCTAGTGAACTTCGTGACTACATTCATAGGCATTTTCTTGATAGCAACGTTGCTTATAGCATCATGCCTGGGTGCTTTCCGTGTTTTTAGCTTCTTGATTAAGTCCTTGATTTCTAAAGGCAAGGCATAACTTAATCTGCTTCCTAATGGTGAGTGCATTTAGCCAGTCTTTTACCTTATGGCAGACTTCATAGACGAAATCCAGGTCACATGAAATCCGATTTGGCATAAACTGCTGCTCTAAATAATCGGCCAGTACTTCAGCTTTATCTTTGTTAGTAAAAGCTATTTTGTCATCTGTAAAAATGGGCCGCGTGCTGTTCGGCTTACGTTTTAAATTCTTTATGAAAGCCCACAGGGAACTATCCATAGGGATTAAGCTCAAAATTTTTTCTTCCCAGGTATCATTTCTAAATTGTTCAATCCATTTCTTAATACCCTTGGTTTAGTCTATTCAGCTCTGTTTTTAATGCTAGGACTCCAAGTAAAGTGCCATCTTTTGCACAGTCGATTGCACTCTGTGATTAGATTTCTAATGTCCTTGGGCAACCTGTTCACATATTTTCTTTAGTGATATAGTGTGAGGCGCTATTGATCGCATTGCTGATGCAGTCACTTAGATTGTTAATAGCCGTGTCAAAGTCTTTCCTAGATTTTAAACTTCCAAGGGCTGGGGAGTTGTTCTGGAGCATCTCCTTGTAGAGATCCCAATTTGTGATCTTGATTTCTTCATTATTGTATACCTTAGAGGTACCAAGCATCACAACAACTGCAATGTGGTTCGACATGAGTTCGTGCATGACCTCAAAGGCCATGGGAATTGAAATGTTAGTAAGTATGATGTCCAAAATGTCAGCTCTTCGTGGGTTGCTAGGTCTATAGGTATACTCTGCAGGTGCATTGATTGCCCCTGGATTATTTGAGATATAAACTTAAAAGTGCCTTTTCATTTTTATTCGTAAGACAGCAGCCCACTCTGTATTCTTAGTGTTTAAGTCACCTGTTGTGATAAACGGCTTGTCCATTGGGCAGAAGTAAGAAATAATATTATCATTAAGTCGAGAATTTGGTGGATTGTAAACAGAGGTGAAGTAAATAGTGCCATAGAAGGGAAGCTGAACTGCGACAGTAACAGTTTCATAACTGTTACCTCTATTTTCTCTGATTAAACAGGACTGAAGGGTATGGCGGACATAAATAGTGACCCCCCCACACCTTTGTGACTAATTCTATCGTACCTGTACGTGCAGTAGTTTGTGATATTGATATTCCTACTAGGTGCTGCATGAGTTTCCATGATTAGCGCAACATCAACATCGTGATTAATAAGAAAATTTTGTAACTCCATTATTTTATTTTGAACGCAGCAAGCATTCCAGAACATTAATACAACAGGAGACTTGTTACTGGTGTGTTTGTTCATTATTGGGTTCAGTAGTAGGTTTGTCTTTAACTTGGCTTTGGATTAGTCTTACTTGCTGTGAGAGGAGAAAGTCGGAGCTTTTATTTTCAGAGACTAGCTCCGCTAAATCTGCAAAAACTTTTTTCGCTTTGCTAATGGTGTCTGTGTAGAGTCCTGTAGTTAAAGCTTGAGCAAAGGATTTATTCTCTACAATACGACCGGGGTAGGTCTTAGGTTTGTCTTTATTAGATTTCTTTGGGAACTTTTCACATCCCCTAAAATTGGAGGTGTGATCTAAGTTGCAATTTGGTACAACGTGGCAGCGTATCTTTGTTTTTATTTTTGCATTCATATGAGAAATGGCTTTTGCCGCATCTAACACATTTTGGGGAGTGGTTACAACGGCTTTGGGTATGGTGGAACCCCTGGCATCTGTAACACTGCAGGGGTCCTGCCCACCCTCTGTATTGCTCCACCTTAACACTTAAGTCCAGTAGGTATTTTTCATTGAAATTTTGGCAGATTTTGCTGCCTTAGGTAGGGAAACTAGAAATAAGGGCAGTTTGTTAACTTCCCCATTTCTCCGTCATGACATTTGTTTAACCAAAGTTATTTTATAGTTTCTAGCTTCAAATTCCTCCTTAATTTCCTGGGGGTCGTCGTCTCTCAGTAAGCCCCTAACAACGACTTTCAAATCCTTATCCTGGGACTGTATAAAACAATGATGTTCTATATCACCTTCTTTGAAGAGTTTTATGTCTAACCTATATTGATCGGCTTTTTTAATGAAAATCTTAACACCATTTGGTATGGTATGTAGCAAGAATTCAATATTGTTTTCCTTAAATTTATTTCTGACATAATTCCATCCCTTACTGCCAACTGTAATGATGATGGATGGGATTTTATTTTTCTTAGAAAATTCTTGCTCGATTTTTTTGTTGACTTTCTTTTGGATTTTGATTTATTGTTTGATCATTAGTGCTGGCATCCATAGTGTTATCAACTTGACAGGTGTTTGTCATGAGATTTGTGTTAATTTTTACCCGCTCAGTGGTAGCTATGGAAATTTGAGTTTTATTGGTCATTTGAATAGTATTTTCAGTCTTTTGTCTTTTAGCATTATTTTTATTTTTAATCCTGCTCCTGACTGTTTGGTCGCATCTAGGCTTTGAGTAAAATTCCTCTTCTGAGCTTACATCTTTGTCTAGAATAATATCGTTGTCTGAGTTTTTATCCATGTTTTCGTTAAATTTAATTGGGCTCCTAGAGTGCTCATTGTCACTGTTTACCTCTATTGTGCATGTGCATATTCCAATTTTGTCAACAGTTTGATTATTTG